GAAAGAAGGGATGGAGGAGGTGTGGTAAAGGGAGGGATGAAGGAGGTTGAAGGGAGGGATCGATTGGAAGGATGGAATGAATGAGAGGGGGCAGGGAAAGGATTGAAAAAAGCACAGTTTATGTCTGTAATGAAATGTAGTATTTTGCATAAATATTTCTATAGTTGAAAGATCACAGGTTCGCACTGGTTTACAGGTATAAAATCTCTACCAGGATAACCAGGAGAAACTAGAAACCGGAGCTATGTATATGGGGTAAGCAATCCGGTAGAATTTATAAACACTATATAAACTATATAAACTTTATATATAAGTTTATAACTAGGGGAGGAAGAGGGTCCCAAAAAAATATTTGAAATAAGAAAAAGTTCAATTTTAGTTTATATATGGATTTACTCGTCAAAATAAATTAAAATAAAATTAATCTAAGAAAACACTCTGGTCATTATTTTTGGTTCTTTTTGAGAAAACTAATGCCAAGTAATTCCCTAAAATATTTTGAAAAATTTTCCAACGTTTTTTTAGAATTCTCTGTGCGTTGTCAAGTTCTGATCTGTAATTCTGGTGGTGTGTTCAGTGTCGGGTATCATGGTTCTTTGCATTTATTTTCGCCGCGTCGATATCTCTGATCTCTCGTGGGGGGTCTACGAGTGGGTCTACAGTAAATATCTTACAGTGGAGAGAAACTTGACACCCTGAGAAATTTTATAGAATCTTGTACATATTTTCAATAAGATTATTAGCGATCAAAAGCGCTTTTATATCGCATTAAGCCTATACCCCTTTTCATTTTTCGCGAACACTCCCTTTAACTTCATACTTACAACAGATATCTGTGACATGTGTTCCGATTCGACCTAATGAGCAACCATATAACGGAATACAGGAGTATTTATTGAGACAGAAAGAATGGAAAAGGGCAACATTGATCAGTTCTCTTTTTATTTTTTTCCTTCTTCAGTGTTTGATAATCGCTTACTTTGTAGGAGAAAATCGAATTGAATTGTCGTCTTCCAAATACGGTTTATTTTGACGACCACTTCATCAATTCATAAAGTTTCTTTGTAGGAAAGCAAAACCAACTTAGGAACTGAGTTTGACAAATCAGAGGTATATACACTATACCTGGTTTTAAATATAAAATGATTACAAAGGTCGTTACTAAACCTTTTATACAGGGTGTCCCACGAAACATGACAGTATGCAGGAAGACTTGAATGTCGTCTTGATTTTTGATATAATTTGCTGCGTTTATTTGTCAACCTAATTTTAGAAGTAAATTTCTAGAGATAATATCACAAATTTTCCCTTGTCCTGCCATTTCCAAAATGTGGTCTGCCTTTTTTGTGCTTTCAATATTGCCCGAGATATGAAGAATTTCGTTCAGATTTCGACAATTTTGCTTTAATTTAACAAAATTGAAATCTGCACCAAACTCTTTATATCTCAGTGAAAGCACAAAAAACGCAGACCACTTTTTGGAAATGCCAGGGCTAGGAGAATTATGTGATAATTGTTTCAAGAATCATACATGTTAAAGTAGATAGAAGACTAAATGTCACAAATAAATTCAAATACCAAAGACGACTTTCAAGTCGTCTACCTATTATCATGTTTCGTGGGACACCCTGTATTTGAAACCTGGTATATACCTCTGATGTGTCAAACTCAGACTATCATATCTAACAGAATTCATAGTTTGAAATATCAAAGGTTTATCACATCGGGTTGCAAAGATTAAGGGACTAAAAAAACGTTTGCGATAAAAAAATTATTTCCTTTGACCTTTTAATAATGTAGGGAACATGAACGAAGAATTAGAGTGTATTGACTCATCAAATGCCTCCAGCATCTTTTTTGTGATGCTGAAATATAGCCCTTTTATACAGGGTGTCCCATGAAACATGACAGTTTGCGAATAGTTTTGAGTGTCTTCTTTTATATACTTTACATAAATTAAAACTTTTTGCAGCATATTTCGTTTAAAAAATCTTTTACTAAAATATACTTTATTTCGATATCAATTTAAATATAATATAACTGCCATAATATTTTTTATCATTCTTTTCGGTATCAAACAGCATAACAAGTTATTGAAGAAGACATTTTAAACTATTCACCAACTGGACATCCTAAACCATAATGGGTAGACACGATTTTAAGAAAAAAATTAATCCAGTCGATTAAGTAGGCTTTGGAAAAGTTACAATTATGTATTTACAACTATTTTACAACTATTTTACGAATAAGTAGTTGTACACAATTTTATCGTCTTTTGAGATGAAAAGTCGAATTTTTTTTAACGAAAACTTCGCAGAGGGGGTGGTTATTTTTCTAAATTGTCCCAAGGGACAGTAGTAACCAGTAACTTAATTTCCCTCGGTTGGCGGAATCCTAGGTCTGTAATTATGGTCAAAAGGCGGTTCAATTTTTTCATGATATAATCTTTCTTCTTAATATCATGGAACCAAATTTTATACATAAAGTTGGTCCTACAGGGTTATTTTTGACGCAGATATCCACCTTCTCCCTCAAAACTGGGCAATTTTTACAAAAAATGGAAAAGTTTAAAGCTCCATTAATCCAAAAAACTGTCTCATATCTTATTCTTTACAGGCATAAAATGAGTATTTAAAAAAATGTTTAATATAGGTATGCAATATGCTAATTACATAAGATCAGAGATGGAATTTAAAGAATTTGAGCCGCGGTTTAAATCTGCCAAAACCCAGTTTAAATTAAGCGCCGGCTTAAATCTTGAAACAATTGATATAATTTTTAGTGGAACCAACCATATTTAAACCACCGCTCAAATTCTTTAAATTCGGTCACAGTCTGCTTGGTTTTACAATTTAAAAATCTGAATATATTGAAATCCAGAATTAGCATACTTTCTTTAAGATTTTATTTTTAATTGTTGTTATCTGTGAACACAATTAATTGCACGTTTTAAGATTAATCAATTCGATATAATAGACTTACAGTGGGGCCTCTCAAACTGTGGAATAAAGCAATCTTTTGTGCATTTGATGTTGTTTTCAGGCAAATCTACTTTCCAGAGGCTTGAAATTAACCTTTCCAGTGTAATGGGCCATACTGTTAGATTATCTATATGATAAAACAAGACATTCGTATATGTATATGTTGCATATATCCGGCCAAACGGCGGAACCGATTGGGCTGAAATTTTTTGTGGACACTCACAGGTGGCCGAGGGGTGTTATAGACTACAAAAAATACGATTTTTTTTCCACGGGCAACGCCCGCCGGGCCCTTCAGCTAGTTCACTCATATGACCACTTAATATGTTTTGTTTCGCGCTGTAGGGCTTTCAAAGGTTAAAATGTTTATTATTAACTTTTATGATTTTCTAAATTGTTATGCAAAGTATTTTTAGGAATTGACAAACAGGTTTTAAGTAAGTAAGTAAGTAAGTAATATTTATTGCACAATAACATGTTAACATATTAAAGTGGCAGGAGATATACAATTCGCAGGATTGCGGTTTACAACGTAGATCTCATAATACAGTCTTTAAAACAAATTATACATTAACAAGAAAATAATCCATTGGTAATTAATATATTTTTCATTACATGAATGGAACGTACAAGGTTTTAGGAATTCCAAGTTAAAAGTTTAGTTATTCAAAACAAGTAAGCGTTATTTCAAGTGATACAAAGATGACAATGCCCGATATACAACGGTGCTCTGAATTGTCTCATCAAATACGAGTTAGAAATCCATAACTTTTTTTATTTGTTTTTATTATAAGAATAAATTGAACAATTGTTGAAATTATATATTTTTTAGTCGGAGAAACGACGTTTATTCCACATTTTTTATCAGATCTATGTTTCAAGGATGCTGTAGTGAATCCCAGATATATGAATATGAATACATAGCAAGTTTTTTTATAACGTCGTATTACAAATTTAGGATTAAATGCTGCGAAAAAATGAGTTCAATATTAATTTATCAATTGCATTTATATTTTACCTTGAAGTAAAAGTAAGAATAAGTTTATTTAGAATTATCTAACAACTTATGACGGTCTATGTATTCATATATCTGGGATTCACTGTATTATAAATTAGATATTGCCACCTTTGCATTTTAAGGGACACTTGAAATTACGCTTTTGGGTTTAATCTTTGTTAATCCTCGACGTTGTTTAATTGATTTTCTAATATTTAAAACAATATTCTTGAACTCTCTTGTAAATTTCATTTTTATGCAATATCGCGTGAAAAACAGATCAACTGACCTAATTAATTTAGAATTGAAAACAGTCTAATCTCAAGATAACCTAGTTTATTATTTATGTACCGGTTTACTCAGAAGTGGTAGAGACTTCTGAATTTATTTGATATTTTCTCTCACATTCTTTGTTCACTACAGCTGTGCCATACTTAGTATTTCTTTGCCTAATTATCTTTTGTGTTATTTCAAGACTTTATTTTGATTCGGCCGATAATAGTCATTAAAATATCATCCTTTATGTCTGGTGTATTTATAAGTAAAGTTTAATACAGGGTGTCCCACGGAACAGTTGGCGAATGGTTTAGATTGTCATCTTCTACATATTATACTAGCTGTAGATCCCGGCGTTGACCGTGGAAAAAAAAATTCCAATTTTTTAGCCTATTACACACCCGGCCACCCGTGAGTGTCAACAAAAAAATTCAGCCCATTCGGTCCAGCCGGCTATAGGCAACATATATATATAAACGAATGTCTTGTTTCATTGTTGCAGTTAATTTCGTTAGCAAAATCTATCACTCAAAAATATTTTCCTTTGAAATCAATTTTACTATAAAATGACTACCATGGTATATTTCTTATTAATGATAATCAATCTCTTTTGCAATAAAGAACTTAACAAATTATGGAAGAAGACGTTTAAAACTATTCACAAACTGTCATGTTTCGTGGGACACCCTGTATATAAACTCAAACCGACTGTCTGTTTCTAACCTAAATATTTACATATAAAGGAATATAATAAAAAGATGTATTTACTAAAAACAGCGGAGAGATGAATTGTGGATTTCTGGAAGCATGATAATTATTGATTAATTAATTTATAATATCATCTCGGGTTAATCACATAGGAAATCAACACATTTTAACAAAGTCTTCTACAAAGCGTATAGAAGCAGTGGAAGGAATCAACTAAGGATTTGATAGACTACAGGGACTATCAAGAAAAATACAGAACTAGCTTTCTTTAAATAAATTCATTAATTCATTAATAAAACCAATGTTAAATGGAGTCTCGTTAAAAATCATGTTTTAAATAAAAATTTGCCGTGAAGGCTTCACAAATCATTAAAGTCTAGATCACAAAGAAAAAATACAAACTTGGTTTAGTGATAGAGTTGAACTAATTTATTTTTGTCAAATATGTTGAACCCGATGCAAAGGAACCGCCAAATTTGACCCAGCACGTCGGTGTACAACTGACCCTGCACGTCGATGTACTGTGGATCGGTACGCGCCACTCCCAAAACTGGTTTCACTGGTTTGTAGGATCATCACGTAAAATCAAGTTTTAGCACCGAATCATGGTTCAGAGAATATCTAACGGTCCAATGACCGTTGTGGAGGTCAAATGAACGGACCGGATAGATGGATTGAATGTGTGCCTGCAGATCTGGTGACCTCGGTGCCATATTTTGTGCTTTTCTACGTCATTGTGCCGAAGACAGGGTTGTGCCGACAAATAGAAGGTCCGTACTCATCGTAATCAGCTTTAGTGTGACACACTCGATAGAACTCGGGCTAAAATATCAAAATATCAAAATATCAAAATGACGCAATGAAAGATTGTGAGACATCGAAATACGATCATTCAAAAAAATATTAATTTAATAATTAAATTTTTTTATTAGTTTTAAAAGTTATTGTTAAAAAGTTATTGATTCGATATATACCGTTGATGCAAGCATACTGCCTCCGAACCAGACTGCGTAGCGTTGCATCTGATGCGAGATCACTTGTACTTCAATGGGTTTTGGCTGAAATAGAATTAATTTAGGAAATAAATCTTATCCATCACAATTTTACTTTGTTTTTTAATGTGAATATTGTGCAAGTTAAAACTAATGTTTTTTATCAATCATTTTTAAATCGGAAGCTTGAGGTTTTTCGAATCATGAAATTTAAGGCCCCTTGGCTCGAGATATTTAGATGTTTTATTTAACATTATTTTAATATTTACCGTTTGTCCAGTCAGTTCTTCTGTAATCTTTAGCCTTCCGTCCACACTCTTCTTTATATCTCTTTCTAATCGTTTACCAAAATCCTAAACAACAAAACTTATGTTAATTGTATTTTCTTCGTTAAAAGGTTGCGGATATATACTTCGTTTAAATATTTCTCAGCAAGGACGCCTGTTTTAATAAATTTATTTCTAGGTTAAACCTTCCCTTAGTCATATGAGTTGCCACAAAAATTTAGGTCCGATCAGTTCAGCCTTTTTGACGTTTATTTTGACGTTTAATCAAACAGACAGAAAATATTGGGTTAAACATGACTATATTCATGTAAGGAGCACATCTGTTTGAATACTTGAAACTACTTAGTTTTGCAGACTTATGTAAATTGATTCACGCATTTCCCCGTCTGTAAGAAAGACGATATTTGGTAACTACAATACATTATATAAATAATATCTAGACAGCCATTATACAAATCATATCTTAAAACAAAGTATTTGTTAGGTTGTCCAACACCCCACCTACGCAACCTTTTAGCAAGTTTGTATTTGCCAACAGATAGTTCTGCAACTATCTAGAACTGGTGATTAATGGTCAGCGATTAAAATTTAAACAAAATCAGAGATGGCAACTTTAGAATTAAAGAATTACTTTAAGTAAAAATGAACTTGTTTTTCCTCACAATGGTCACGAGTTAGTTGTTAAGTCAAATATGAGCTAAGATATTAAATTTAAATTTGAAATGAAAGAATGGTAGCAAAAATAAATTTTATTTGTAGAATTTTTTTTAAAAATTACGAGAATTACATTCAACGGCATATCATATGACATAATTTAAGAGCTTAAAGGATTTAAACCAAAGTCTTCATGTTTTCAAAGATGAAATCATTCGTAAAAAATGAACTTATAAACTGCCCGTTCGTGAATAACTACTAAGTAACTTATGAAAACTTAATTTTTTGTTTGAATCATTTTCTACCTTTGTCGGATAGAACGATATTCTAAGACCTCGCCGTTAAGATTATATTTACCTTAAACATGGTAGAACCGCCGGATAGAACAATATTCTTGTCAAGACCCCGCCGTTTAGATTATATTTACCTTAAACATGGTAGAACCGCCGGAAAGAACGATATTCTTGTAAAGACCCCGCCGTTTAGATTATATTTACCTTAAACATGGTAGAACCGCCGGAAAGAACAATATTCTTGTAAAGACCCCGCCGTTTAGATTATATTTACCTTAAACATGGTAGAACCGCCGGAAAGAACGATATTCTTGTAAAGACCCCGCCGTTCATCTATTGGACAATTCTGTACCACACTATCCACAGTTTCACTGATAGGAACAGTGAAGTCAGGGTTAGCAAACTGAAATATTCAAAAATTATTTTTTTTAAAATAAAATTTAGAATCTAGAATCATAAAGAAAAAACCATGAAATAAATATCATTTTCCCTCTTTTTCGTCGAGAGGGAGGTCGAGACTAAAACTTAGTAATTTATTTTAATATTTCTTGAAATTCTCCACAAAAAAGTTTCCCATTTTTACTGGAGGAAATATTTGAATTTAAATAAAATAAACAAGGTGTACTAAGGGAAAACAACAAAAAAACATATTTGTATTTGTTTTCAGTCATAACCCGAAAGACCTGGAATTAATTGACACTGAATCAGTTGGAATGCATATATATCTTTGGTATTTTAAACGCACAATAAAGGCAGACCACATTTTGGAATTATATTTTTGTTATTATCGTTTTTATCAATCATATTTGTAAAATTAGACTTTCTGATTATGACTGTAATAAAAATACGCCTAAGTCGAGAAATTATACTGTAAAGTCGTCTGATTATTTATAAATTAATTCCGAGTCTTTCTGATTATGAGTAATAAAAATACGCCTAGGTTGAGAAATTTTAATTAAATATCCTAATAGGATTTCTTATCAATACAACAAAATCAAGTATACAAAACAATTGCAAGTGCTACTATACAAATACACTATTACACATACAACACAGGGTGTGCAAAAAACTCACAACAATGATAGATAACCATATTACTTCCAAAAAAGTACGCATTTTAATTTGAATCTGCATTCAGGAAGATCTGGTGTAACCATGCAAGTATGACTTTGATTTGTTACTAAAATACATGTTTGTAAAGTAAACCAAGTTTTTTTTGCACACCCTGTTATAATGCATTGTTTAACCAACTCTGACTCGAACGTTACCTTAGTAAACTTAAAAACTACAATTTCAACATCATGTAAATGTACATTATGGCAATATTTGTAAAATGTGAGCATACCAAAATCTTTGACGGGATATATATTTAATATATATAATATAAATATAAATAGACAGGGGCGGATACAGGATTTAAGTGAGGGGGGTGCTGGATTTATTTCGGAAGAAAAACATCCAAAAAGACGTGCCACAGACGAAAATTTTCTTTAAGATGATATTTTCCTGCCGAATCCGTCAGGGGGGGGGGGGGGTTGCGAAGGTCCTGCCGCCCCTGTATCTAGATATGTATATATATATATATATACACCCAGGCGAAAGATTGTTGCTTCAAAAAGGCTGTTGGACACATTTGTGTAATATTAGAAAAACTGTGACAAATAAGCAGTACTTTGGATCCATTTAATTTTAATGCAGATCCAGGTCCGGCTTTATTTTTGCTTATTTTTTTTATCATAACTTTCAAACATTTCTTCTTTTTTTCTTGTTTTTTTTTTACTTAAAACCTCTTGGAGTATTCATTGTTTGATCCCTCATTCATTGACACTTCAAATGTGCGTGTTTGAGAGATAAATAGGTTAGTTTTCCGATGTCTTTGTTGGTGTTGATGTAAATAATCGTGGAACTACAATGTACAGGTGTGGCGTTATTTCTGGGTAAACGTTAAATAATGGTAGTAGACTCTACACAGCAAATTTTCCGCGGCATTTGCGCACAATTCTGTGAATGTAAACAATAAATTGAGTGAAAGTGTTTCTCATATTTGAGAATCAATCAAGTTTTGATGAGCGACAGACAGTAAAAATCAATTGTTTTAACATTCGGGATCGATATGACAGCTTAGTGTACGTAAGTTAATTGTTAAGATTCTGATACTTGCAAATAATGAGAGTTTAACGTATAGTTAATTACTTCTGTACTCACATTATATATCAGCATATAGTGTATATTTTAAGTGTATAAATATAATTTCTAATTTTAAAATTTCAGATAAAATACCAGATTTCTGTTGTGCGCATTGCCTTAAACTGCAAAAATATGAGCGGATGCCGCGGAAAATTTGCTGCGTATAATCTACTACCATTATTTAACGTTTACCCAGAAATAACGCCACACCTGATCTAATGGATCCGGATTCTATGCACAGGAAAAAGGAAAGTGGAAGGATTTAATAATGTTTTTTTTTACCTCAGGATGAAAAAATATCTCTGGTCCAAGGAAGCGCTCGTATCCGACATCAACGGTGAAATCCTTCTTAGTAATTGCATTTGTGCCAGTATACTGCTTTATATACTTCTCAGGCTGGCTGTCATATCTACTAAACTCCTTGGCTATGTTAGGACACATGTAACAATACCTACAAATAAATACAATGAATTAATTAACAGGTTGGATGTTGCAAGTTTTCTACTCACAGCTATAATGAAGAATAAGTAAAAATGTAGATATTAAAAAGTGCAAAAGAAATGTTAGAAATAACAGTTCCAAATTTACTTTCCTTTTCAAAGAGAATGCAATCCTGTGAAACCAAAACGATAGAACAAAATAAATAAAATCGAATCAGAGCTCAGGTTGTTAACTAATTCAAGATGCACCTATTCTAATTTGAATTCTCTGGGGTAACAGAACAGTTTTTCTTTAACAATTTTTTTCGGACCTAGTTTTTTCGTGGCCTATCGAATGAATTTAATCATTAAAATCAAAAATGGCTTAAAATATTTACCAAAAAAGCCTGCATGTGAGTAATGGATTAAACAAAAGAATTAGATATTATTACCTTTCTTTGATAGCCTTGGCAGTTTCTAGTGATTGTTCTGGAGGGATTCCTATCTCTCTCTCTCTGAGCAGATGTTGTATAAAGCTGGTTATTGACCGGCCAGCTATAGGAATATGCTTTATACACGATCCTATCACATATCCATTGGCCTAAACAAAATAAAATTTAATCAGCTAAAAAATATTTTTAAAAGCTCAGGAAAAGATACGATAAGAGGGCGCCCCCCTCATTACGTAGATTGTTGACCTTCTATGACAAACTTGAAAAAGAAAAATCTTTGAATCCTACTTAGCGGATTAAATTCTCAATTTATATATCTAACAATTTCTCTGGATATATAATAATAATTGGATATATTTGTATTTAGTAATGGTAAAAACCTATTGCATATGTATTTAGTTATTAACGCAAGCCATTTATTATTTTTTTTGAATACATTACCTTAGGAAAACTTGGCATTTGAAATAAGTCAAGCGTGCATATATCTATTTTAATGCATGCAACAAGATAAAATTTTCAGTTTTTAATATTCAATATTTTTTTGATTCGTCGCTGTGGTTTAATGTTACATTTATGCAGAAATGCTCACACGTCATAAGTCTGGAAAACCCAGATTTCTTGGAAAAGGATTGAAATGTTTAGGACAAGATAAAATTTATCTTGAGAAAAGTTGCTTAAAATCAAATTTTTAACAAACTTATTGAAGAAAATATCTGGGGGAACCCAGCGTTAGGAAACTAAACTTTCTCTAAAAAAGGAAGAAAAAAAAACGATATTTTTTAAACCTTGTAGTAAAAAAATTCTTTTCGCTATTAACTTAATATTATTTTAAGCATTTTAAAAGGGGAAAAAAGGCGTATACAATGAAGAGGGCTGTGTGGACTATACCCCCCCCCCCCCAAGTCAAAAAAGGTCAAGCCGCCCCTGGATAGATTCCTGTATAAGCATTGTAATAACTTTCACATTCACGTATGGACAAATCTGTCTTTTAAATAATTGATAGGTGAGAATGACATTTGTCTAAATGCAAACAGAAGACATTTTAAGTCTTTAAGTCCCCCCCCCCCCTCGCTAATCTTTATAAGTAAAGTTGTAATCTCTGTTTCTTTGTTTGTCCGATCATAACTCAGGAACCCCCCTCCCCCTACACCAGTTAAAGGAAGGGGGGGGGAGAACTTACCACTGGTATAACATGAGTAACTCCATCTCCTGAATCTATGACTACACCAGTTAAAGGTCTTTCCGCTCCTTTCTTCTTAACCCAGGACGCAGCCAGGGATAGCACAGCCTAGACCAAGAAATCAATTAATAATCCGGATAAAACTGCAAATCCGGATCCGGGAAAAAAATCGCATGCAAATACAGATCCGGGAATTGAAATATTAAGACGTCCCTATTTGTGCATTTACCACTGGTCTTCCTATTCCATGGTTTTATATTAATGTAGTGTACACGTATAAATAACGTACGCACCTGTACAGCTATATATAAACCCGGTACATTAAAGGATTCGAACATTATCTCCGCCGTATACTCCCTGAAAATAGATAAAAAATTAATAAGTGCACTGACATAAAATAAACAAATGAAGCAAGAAACTAAGTAATAAGTGCACTGACATTAAATAAACAAATGAAGCAAGAAACTAAGAGTGAAAATAGATAAAAAATTAATAAGTGCACTGACATTAAATAAACAAATGAAGCAAGAAACTAAGAGTGAAAATAGATAAAAAAATTAATAAGTGCACTGACATTAAATAAACAAATGAAGCAAGAAACTAATAGTGAAAATAGATAAAAAATTAATAAGTGCACTGACATTAAATAAACAAGAGGCAAGAACTAAGAGTGAAAATAGATAAATATTAATAAGTGCACTGACATAAAATAAACATGAAGAAAATCATAAAATGAGAATGACATAGATAGATATTAATAAGTTCCCCAACATTAAATAAACAAAAGAAGTGATGAAAAACAGAATTATTTTACTAAACATGAAAAATATCATTTGTAGGGTTCACATATAAAGTTACAAAAGAATCACAAAGTGAAAATATATTTTTTGGTTTATCGCAATCCCTATTTTCACTAACCTATTCTCTGGAGTGTTTAGTGGAGGTTCTGTAAGTAGAAAATAATGATCTTCTGGTTCTGCCCTGAGGTACTTGAATATACACTGCTCTAGGTAGCGTTCCATCAGGTCCCAGTCCTCCACCAAACCATGTCGGACAGGGTACTAAACATCGTACAATCAGTAAAATATCTATTTATGTCATTGTAATGGGTATTATTAGGTACGAATTTTTGATTAATTTGATCGAAAACAAACTAGAAAAATAAAAAATCACAGCAAAAACTTTTTCGCACTTAATAATACCCATTACAATCACAATTTTACTCAAATTATTTAAAAGCAGGTCGATAAAGTTACTTAATCACCCTGTTGTAGGGTGATTAAGTAACTTTATCACCCTACAATGAGACAAATTAGATATGAAATTTGAAATTTTAATAGCAGGGGGAAAAAGTTACTTTTTCGCCCTGTTGTAGGGCGATATTCACTTAATCACCCCACAACGGGAAATATTAGGTGTGATAAATTCCATCAATATTGAATAAATAAGGTTTACATACAAATAACTAAACGAATACATCCTTTCAAAACTCAATCATCCCTTTCATCTATTTTCACTTATTATGTACTCGGCTCCGCAACATTTTGGTTTCCTGGATCCGGATCCAAGGTGCAAAAAAACCAAACAAAATCTGATAAAAAGAAACTCTTGCTCTCAAAACACAAATCTCAAATGTTAACTAATGAGCGATTATTTATCTCTGAATAGTCCATTAAGTTTCAGCATGAATATAAGAGGGGAAAAAAGAAAAAATTGAAAATTTGTTATTTGTTAAAAAAACATTAAATCTTGAGGAAACAGGAGTTTATTTGAAACAGTATTGTTAAAAATCCAAGCATTTTATACATTTGAGGATAGTTTCCGATTCAATAAGCCCTTAACTTCGGCATAACAAATATATGTGGGTTTTCAACTTAAAGAATTAAATTTGGTAATAAAAAACGAGTCTTTAGACACTTAAATTTTTCATAAACCATTTTTTCTCATTAGTTTAATGCAGAATTTAATATGTCAGTACAACCCATGATTAAACTAACCTTAACAGCGTAAGGAGTTTTCTGCTCCATCGCCTCGTCTCCAATATAAAAATCTAGATCCTCCACTCCTCTTGTCACCCTTCTCTGGGTCTCATCTCCAACCTGGAACAATACAAGAAAATTAAAACCTAGCTAAGAAAATTAAAAACTAGCTAAAGTATCCGATGATGCCCTTGGGATTTTGAAAATATTTTGAGGAAAAAAACGGTTTTGCCTGGTAACTTAAAACTTTCTCTATATAAGGCAACCCACTCACCTTTTTTAAATTAAAAGCCAAGTTAAAAATATTCCAAGGAGTATGGAATATAAGGGGGAAGGGATTGACCCGGCCCGCCCTGCCATATTATCATACATGCTTTGCAGGCGGTACTCCATTTGAAGAGTTTTTTAAAGGTCGTCTTTTTAATTTTTATCAAATATTAGCGATTTTTTATATCTTAAAAATACGTTTGTATTGCCATTATTTGTGCATCCAAAAAAAGATTTTTGTTTGGCGTTACTCAGCCTATTCCTTGTTTAATGGTATACAATAACCTATTCTGAATACAGACAATTCTAATTATTTAAGATACTAGCTGAATAGCCCGGCGTTGCCCAGGAATTCCAAAGAAAATTTTAATTAGGGTAATTTCAGCCAATTCAGTCCGGCCGTTTGAGCAAAGAGCTTTATTTTAAAGACTTATTCGGCTATCAATGATTGGTACCTCCTACGTTTCTGAAATATCTAACTTTTGAGTGGCTAATTCATGTCAGAATATTCTTTTTCTAAATAAACGAAATAAATGTGCTTTAAAAAATTTGATTATTTCAAATAGTCTTTCAATGCAACAGATGTTAAGTTAGAGTACAAACACACTTGTTTCTAATTCTATATTGGCGCATAATCATAGATTTAATGCAAACCTAAATTTAAAATTCATGAATTAAATTTTAATGTTATTAAAAATCACTCTCACGTTTTAGCTGTGAAGTCCTGATTCTGAACCGGGGATGATTAATGAACTGAAAAAAAGATAATTTTTAACCCTCAAAATATTTACCTTCGCCGTTTCCTTGACAGCTATAGCACTCGGGATAATAAACTGGGGTTCTTTATTACCCGCATACCCCATCTTGGTGTACCTAGACAAAATAGTATTAAATTTTATAGAATTGAAAGGAGTATGGTAATAAAGTGTTACGAGTTTTCAACGCTTGGGATTACATCTTTAGTTTCCCTATAACATTAAAATTGATCTAACCCTCTTTTTAGATCAACCCTGACTTTGAATCAGGAGCTGAGGGGGTGATTGGTAATTTCCTAGTACACGATTTTTGGACACCCCCCTCCTATCAATTTTGTACATGAATCTTATATGTAAGAAATGGATATAATTGATCATATGGCCGCAGCACCCGGCCACCTAGCCTTTCCTAGCTAGCCACTTCGCTCGGCCCCCTAGCCTGTCCCGAGTCGCAGCGCTCGGCCCAGAAATTATATGAAACTAACCTAACCCTAAAATAATAAAAATAACTTATAATCAATGGTTATGTGCAAAATTGATAGGAGGGAGGTTCAGAAATCGTACACTATAACGGACCGTCGGACCCGGGTGATCTTTACTGAAAGAAAAAACTCCTTAAATGCAAGACAAAACTAAGCCATTAAGATTATGAGAAATTAACGAAATTAAGAATGAAGAAAATAAAATTATGCTGGTTAATATGCAGAAAAGCGCATATAATTAACTGGAAGGAAAAACATGTGTATAATAAAAGTTCAGATTTAATGTTACAAAATAACAAAATGGAAATCCAATTAATCTTTAAAAGGATTTAAACAACACTCTCAACTAAGGTTTAATTATTTAACTGGAATGGGACGAACGGCTATAATAAGACATAAACAAACGGGATCAAATATCCTAAATAATGACCTTTAAACAATTGGATTACATATTTAATCATCTTATTTCTATATATTAAAATCGAATTAAAGAATAGCTTACCCCGTCCCTACATCAATAACACAAGCAGGTAATCTTCGAGCCATGTTTATTGTTTTAATAATTCACTCCTATCATTGAGCATAAACAACAAGTTTTTCACCGGAAATCTAATTCAATGTTTGTTTACTTGTCTCGTCGGCCATCAAGTAATATTTCCTAATTTTAACCAATCCCTGATCACAAGGCTTTACGATTTCTAACTTGATCACTTTATCGTCTGTTTAAGCTGGAGTTGAGGAACATTTTGTGGAAAATGATAAGAACTCTAGAATTTCTGCCCCCACCCAGCGCTGCAGGATTCAATATGGAGAACAATGGACCAATGGGAGGTCACAACTGGATTTGTTTTCAACCAATCAAAGACAAGGATGAGTATTGTGTTGGCCGGTCTTTATACAAATACGACATTTAAAACAATAGTTTTACAGAAATCAACAAGTTCGAAAACAAAACGATGGTGTATCTTTCGACCTACGCAAATCCGCTATACTCCACTTCTGACCTACGCCAAATCCGCTATACAATACATCCGACCTAATAGGCCGTGGTTTTACAGCTCCTATATGAGCTTGTAGCCGCAGCGCCCGGCCCCCTAGCCTGTCCTAGCCACAGCGCTCGGCCCTGAAATTGTCTTACTATACCATAACCCTCAAATATAATACAAAAAAAAACAGCTGGCGTAGGTCCGATATTGCAGTAGGTCGGAATCAAGGTAGTAGGTCAGAAGTTCAGTGGGGGATGTTGCGAAAAGACGATGTAACATTACGTCAAACAAAACAAATAAAGATTAAAAATGATTGGAGGATTGACGGGTTGGAAGAAGGAGGGCCACACTGTTCCATTGAGACCGTCAGGTTAAAAGTCGTGTCACTCGAATGAAACCTTTTGCAGTAGATACATCCATGTCTAGAGATATCATAACAACCAATTTTAAAATCTGCACTGCGTGTTAAGATGGTTAAAATAATAAATTAAAAAATAGAAATAATTTTGTTAAAAATATAAATTATAATATCATAATTGAAGAAATCCGCAAAAAAAACGGGAGAAAACGTTCGAATTTCGAATTTTCGTACAGGTTTATCTCGCACTTTCAACATCTAATATACATTCAATCATGGAAAAGAACTTTGATAGAAGTTCTGTTTGTTGTTGTTGTTGGGCATATTTTGGATTAAGATCTAAACATCTTACTCTTGTGAATTCAGCCATTGGGAAGACTGTTCAAACCTTCATTTATCCTGGTTACTCGGTAGATGTTTGTAGTTATCCTAGCATGGTTTGTTCTGGTTGTCGGAGAAACTTATATTTGCTGAAAGCAGGGAAACAGGGGATGGGAGAAAAGGGTTGGAGAGTAGAGGAAAAGGTTCAAAGGAATGGAAGGAAAAGGTTGGAAGGGATGAAAGGAGAAGGTTGCGTGGATGGAACGATAAGGTTGGAGGAGTTGGAATGGTTGGAAGGAGAAGGATGGAGAGGATGGAAGGAGATGGACGGGGAGGATGTAAGGAGAAGGATGGAAGGAGAAGGTTGGATGAGATGAAAGGAGAAGATTAGAGGGGATGGAAGGATAAGGTAGAGGGAATGGAAGGAGAAGGTTGAATTTAGACTTGAAATAACACTTTGTGATAAGAAAAGTTTAAAGTTTACATGTTCAAGATGTTTAGTGTAAAAGATATAAACTAAAATGTTTAGTTTCTAAACATTTTGTAATAATTATATACTTTTACACAGTATATTTTATAATATATATATCAGAAATCAATTATGTATTCTCCCCCCATTCCTGGGGTTTTTAAAAATGTAATTAAAGTAGATGGGAGAAAAATAATTTTCCCATGTAAAAATCCCGTGTTCATCTCGTGAAATAAACTCAAGTTTTCGCCGTGTAAAAACTCAGTCCTAGACCCGTGATCAAATCGTCGACAATCACCTGGACAACACGTGAATTATCACGGGATAATGACGGGTCACTCGTGTGAAATAAACCAAATAATCTTGTGTTCTTCACGGGTTTTTGTTTGTTGGGAGGGGATGGTACAGGGAGGAGAATGTTGGAGGCGATGTTACAGGAAGGATAATTGGTTGGAGGAGATGGAATTGGAAGGATACGGTTGGAGAGGATCAAACAATAGGGTTGGAGGGATTTAACGAGAAGGATGGAGACAATGGAAGGAGAAGGTTGTAACTTGTAGAATGGAAGGAAAATGTTGAAGAAGCTGGATTAAATTGAATGGAAGAAGACGTTGGCAGGGATTTAGGGGAAGAGGGAAGTTTAAAGGAATAGAAGAAGTCCAAACATCCTAAAACAAATAAATTTCCGGAGGTTATTGAGAGAACTCTCAAGTATGACGGAAACCCATGAGAAATTTTTGAATGATGTGAAATCATGGAAACACATTTGTATAACATGAGTGGGAAACAGGACAGTGGAAAGGACGCTACGTCATGGGCCATGGGAGCAGCTAGGCAAGACTAAGAGATAGTGTTGTTGCATCGTACCGGATTAGCAATTAAATTGGAGAAGTTCTCACAGATGAGAAGGATGAAGAAGGAATATTTGGCCATGAAACTGCAGGGAAGAAATGAAGATCCCAGAAAATACTACACGGACAAGATATGAGATTATGGGTACAAGCCTACGCTCCGTGCAATAGGAGTTTAGTAGAATTTTGAATGAAATGATAATGGGATTGTACAATAGATTGGAAGAAAACTCGCCTGTTTTTCATGAAACATGAGAACGAGATTAAGGTTGTGTTAGAACATCAGTTGGTAAACCTTAGAGAAGTTATAATATGTAGATCCCAGAGCTCATTCACATGATTTGGCTGGACTCAGGAGTACGTATAGTTTTGAGAAGGGTGTAAGCATATACCAGAGCTGATGGGATGCTGAAAACAGGACAAGTGCCTATGGAAGTGAATACAGTGCCTGGTTTGGTACTGGACGAGTCTGAAGATGAAGGAGGAGAAATGTTTGGTGATGTTAAAGTGTCACAGTTAAGGTTTCCTGCGAAAAATGCAAAAATTTTAGCAAAATAAGAAATGCAAAAATTTCGCAAAAAAAATGCAAAAATTTTGCGAATACAAGACGAGCATTTACCGAAAAATAAGTTTTTGAGGGATTTATTCCACTCAAAATATAAAGTGACCAAATGTTATAGATTTAAGAACAACCATGAAGACAATTCATAGATTTATTTGTAAGTTAATAATACTTTCGGAACTGTTAAAATCTCTTTCTTAAAACACAACATAAAATTTATTACAGAGAAAACAAAAATAATTCGGAATATTTTAAATTCACCCAGTAAAATAACTATCTGCCTGGCTGGCTCATGGCTAGTTGGATTTGAGTGAACATACATGGATCAGAAAGGTAGAGAAATCAAATTAAAGGTAGAGAAATCAAATTCTCTTCATCAAACATGCATTAAATTAAAGGAAGAGAAATTATTAATACTAGGCTTTAAGAGCGCTTTGCGCCCATCTTCTAATTAAATTGTGAACATGTTCTTTTTGTTTAAATTTTAAAACAAAGAAGAAAAAAATTTTGCGGATTTAAAAAAAAATCGCGGATTTTCAAGAATTTAATTTTTTTTTACAAAATTAAAAAACCTTTAAAACACATTTTTTAAAATTTTTATCATTTATAAACCTTCCCTGTGGTCAAGTGATGTACCACAAAAAATTTGGGCCCGATCGGTTCAGCCGTTTTGACGTTTATTGGATACAAACAAACAGACAAACAAACAGACAGACAAGCCAAATCTATATATAGATGGTTGTTGAACATAAATCCCCCACATAATGTAGCCTTTACCAGCCACAAGTCCAAACCAAACAATTTCTCCGGCTCTACCTCTCTACCCTGACAAAGGGAAATTGAAACAGTGAAACATTTACTAGTGAAAATAAAATCCATTAATAACTTTGCCATTCATAGTAAATTCCACTTAAACAACCAGGTTTATATTTTCAGAAATATTCACAATGTTTTAAACTATTCCATCAAACCTTCCAACCCTTAATCACTCCTTTATCAACCTGACATGATAACATAGTAAATTATATTGCTAATCATTCAGAAACATTTATACTTTGCCATTTATTTTTACTATATATGCATTTTATTGCAGGTTTGAAATATATCAGTTAACAAGATTATTTGCAACTTGTGTCAGAGTTGAGGAGCCCCACCAACAAACCTTTTGATCAAAGAACCAATCAACCAACTGACCAACCAACAAACATACCAATCAACCCATTGACCAACCAGCCAATCTAACATATTATTGTTGACTAAATGTTTGCAGGGGATGTCATCCACGGAAACAACACTGAGACCCCATTCCAGGAGCCTCAGAAAGCATGCATAAGGAATTCTCCCTGCTTCCACAGGGATGTATGATTTGCACCACGCCAACCAACCACGTTTGTAATCTGGATGATGGACCTAAACAACAGCAATACCACCCAAACCTCTCCCGATTCTGTCAAACTCCCTCAACCCCCTCGCCAACCAAAACATTCTCACCTGTTAAGATTGAACGAGTTCACCGTCATCACTGATAGAAACACTGTTTTTCACTGGAGTACTATGAAGGATAGCGGAGGCACCCATCAGAAGATGGTTAGACTATATCCAACAGTTTAACTTTATGGTAACTCATCGTGCAGGTATGCCCCCCTCCTGCAAAGGTAAGATATGTACAGTAGTTGAACTCTCTTGGCACTTGCCAGGAGCCAATGGTATAGAAGGCAGAGGACCCCCTCTGATAGGAGCTATACAAGGTACAATAGTCATAGATCAGTATGATTTTGAGAAAGCTCAACTGAATGACGAATCACTTAACTTGGTCAGATCATGGTTTGACAGAATACAGGTAAGGTTGAGGATAAAAAATCAACACAAAAGAACTCAAAACTTTACAGCAGTGTGTTACAGTTGTATAAGCTAAGTTAATTTATTTGTTAGAAGACAAATTCAAGGCTGAACCCATGATGAGAATTGTTGTCCCATCCTCGCACAGGTATCAAGTCCTACTAACACTGCAGAGTACAGCGTGCTATGCAACAGGTTAAAAAGGTTTTCTACTGGCCAGTGTATAGAAGTAACACAAGTCTCTTTGTCACAGAATGTGCAGGTTGCTTGCACAGAGAAGAGGTAAATTTAAAACATGTTAAACCTTTTGGGCACTGCGTGCAAAAGACCTCAATGACGTCCATTAATATTGTCCACAAATAAAAATAAGTATATATTAATGATACTTGATCAATTTAGTCATTTCTCTGCTGAAGTTACTATTCCTGAAGTCAGCTGAGACAGTCTCCACAGCAATCCTGAAACATTGGATCTCGTATGGAACTCCAACAAAATCCAGGACCGATGCAGGACTAGAATTTTGAAACTCTGTAATAGTTTCTATGATGAGTGCTTTAAATTAAAGCGACAATGGCAAGAGAAAAATGGCCATTGCGGAGAAAAAAAGTTTTAATTGCAAAAGTCAAAAATTTTATAATACTCCTTGAAAGGCAAGGAAAGTGGATACAAATTAATGTTTGCAACTTAAAGAAAAAGAGCAACAATGATTTTTTATTTCCAGTGTTATTAAATACAGTCATTGAATGCAACCTGGTAGTATCCAAATTCTCAACCCAGGTAGGAGTATTACAATATTGATTTGTTGAGGATGGCAGAGAATACAGATGTCAAACTTCATATCATCTGCCCAGAAGAGCTGAGTAATACTGCCGAGCTCAGGTCTCTAGCACTGTTCCTCAGGTACAACTTGAGCTCAAAGACAGACAAAGGAATCTGGGGGCCAGATTTCCCCTGAAGCCAACATGGAAAAACCCTCAGAAGTTCCACCTCATCATCTTCACCAAGTGAAGAAGTACAAGTTCCTCTCCATTGTCAACAGAATGCTGATAACCTCCTCCGCCAAGGAACCCTAGGTGGTCCCCATTTTTCAAGAGCTCTACATGGTATCAAAAGCTGGATTAGAATAGGACTGGAGATAAGTCAATCCCTCCGCTGGGGTCAGAGTTTTCACATTTTGTATTTTTTTTATATCATCATTTCGGTTTAATAAGAACAGATTTCAGTTAAAAAAAAACACTGAAATAATTATCGTTGGAATATATACCCTGATTCAATAAGAGGATTATTTACTATAAACTATAACTATGTTTTACTTAAAAATATAAAATTGTTCAAATATGCAAAACGTCTAAAAACATACCTCCCCATGTTGATATACCAAGGAAACACAATGAGAAATTATGAAATGGGGAGGGGTACTACAGCTTCACCCCCTTTCTACGTGTCCCTGACTGACCTGTTTTTTCTGCTTTGAATTTGCATAGAAATCTCAGACTAGAATTCCCACAGGAAATTGCCTGCGCAAATTTGTGAGAGTTTAAGAGATCGTTCATGTATTTGGATAAGAGATTGAGGTATCATTTAATGGGCCAATGTACTATTTCACATTTTGACTTCCATATTATAAGCAGTCGAAGGAAATGAGTTTTTGCCACAAACTCAAATGTTCTAATCCCTATATATTTGCAGCCAGATAGTGTAACTCTTTGATATTTCAAACTTAGATTATTTCATCTAACAGAATTCATAGTTTGAAATATCAAAGGTCTACAACATTGGGTTGCAAAGATATAGGGAATAGAAAATTTGAGATTTTGGCAATAACTCAATTCCTTTCACTGTAATTTTAAAGTTATTGAGTTATAAATTTTGAAAATAAATCATTTAATCTTTTTCTTCAAATTCTCTCTTGATAGAGGATTAAAACAAAAAACCTACAGATTAAAAGAAATATGGGTGAACAATATGTTTGGTTGGAAAATGAATAAATGGGAAGCAAAAGGCTTTATGAAGTCTGTGAGAATAATTCCACCGAATGATTTTTTTTATTTAGTTGCCATGCAATAAATGCATTAAATGCCTGCGCGTGTACGATGTATAAGACTAAGCACTTTCTATACCTAGAAAATAAAATATAAAGCACAGTACTGAAATATTTGATTTAAGGATACAGCATACAGGATACAGGATACAGGATTCATGATTCAGGATATAGGATACAGATTACAGATTACAGGATATGGGATACATATTAGAGATTACAGGATATAGGATACAGATTACAGATTACAGGATATAGGATACAGATTACAGGATATAGGATACAGATTACAGATGACAGGATATAGGATACTGATTTTGAAAAAATATTGATACCTTATTTAACTATGTAAACAATTCGATCATTTACACACTTCCTTATTACACGTGTTAATAAATTATTTAATGTAATTTTCTTAAGTGGACTCATCAGATAATCCCTCTTAAAACTGCAATGGTGTAAGCTTAAAGGGATGAAAAATGGTGATGGAAACGTTTCTAAAAAACATCTACACCTTCATAGGATCGATACATATTGTTTTATAAATTATGATATCAAATATATATTTACACTGAAGGCAGTATTGATTAAAGCTTTTTTAATGAAACTTTTTTAAAGATTTAAAAGTATTCTTTTCTCTAAGATGTAATTATACTAAACGGTATACATGCGTAATTTCAAGAGACCATGCCTCCATTTATAAAGTTGCATGTCCGATGTACCTTTGAAACCTTCATTTATCCATCGTTTCTGAAGCAAGAAATTAACGAGTCACTTTTGTAGAGAAACCACACACAAAAAAAATAATCAGTTTTAAGAATGGGAAACATGGATATTTAATGCAATATTTGATGATACAAAGCTTTGAAGGGTATTGTTGTAAATCAGAATATATTTTAATCTTTTCTTAATCTTTTAGTTTGGGTGAGAGCAATGCAATGCAATGTAGAATGTAGATTGCCTGAGGAAGGGAAATGCAAGCAGATGTAATATTAAAAGAGCCCCTCCCATGGATAACCCGCCCCCCCCCCCCCTCAATGGGGGGATAAAGTTGTTTCAGGATGTACAATATACACATGATTCTTGATATATGATCATTGATCATTTTCCAAAGAAAAAACAAATTTTATATTTTTATATTCATAATAAGTAATCATTACAATAATGCAGGACTATTAGACAGAATTGTTGCGTAGAATGAAGTCATGAATTATTACAGATTTTCTCAACCACGAAACCTAAATTTCCCGCGGAAATCCCAGTCTTCTTCACAACCTGCACGTGTATGTCAGTTTGGACATTATAAACCAAGGAATTTGCCAGAACTTTTCATAATACGAAGGATACTTTTTGGGAGAAATATACACAGTCCCATGCCCAGGCTAGGGTTTGTTTTCATTCATCCCAGAAACTAGAACACATCTTTTGTTTTAAGTTCCTTTTATATTCTTTTGGTACAATTGCCAATAAATTGTATTCGTTTTTTTTAAGATTTAAACTGAGTATGCACTGTTGTGGACAATTTTTTTAGGATTCATTTGAGACATATAAAACGTTTCCACGATGTATAATTATTTAGTTTGAGCGCCAAGTCGACGTTCAAAATCATGAATTTGGGTGGGTACGTTTTCAGAACCGTTTTTTTAATCTTTAAATAGCGACGACGAAAAATATAGCAAAAATTCTATAGTAAAATGATTAGATGTTTAAGAACATATTTATCAAAAGAAATTTGTCAATAAATCAAATTTCTTATTTCCTATGAATTTGTTCGCAGATTTTATCAAATTCTTCAAACGTCGTATTTTTATAAAAATTCCAGAAAATCTGCAGAAAATCTTTGTGATTAAAGAGAGATCATAGAAAATAATAATTGAATAAGATTACTTATTTTCGATCATAAGAGTTAATTTTTATTTTCTCAACCTGTTCCTAACCAACTAATTAGTTTACTGTAGAATTTTTTTTACATTTTATGTCGTAGTTGTTTAAAAATTAAAAACCCATTCTGAAAACGTATCCACCCAAAAATACAATTTTGAACGTTGACTTTGCGCTCAAACTCAGGGTTCGCATATCTTTGAAAAGTTTTATATGTCACAAAAGAATCCTAAAGAATTTGTCTACAACACTGCATACTCAGTTTTATTACATACATATCCGGTCTGTCCCATTAAAGATTTTTCTACTAAAAAAATATGACCCCTAAGAGAAGATTTTTGCAAAAACGATCATTTTAAAATAAGAATTTTTTGTTGGTGTTTTGTTTTCTATTTTCTCGAAGGATAACAATTTTTGCACAACTTTATAAAAGCAAACATTTACATGTATGTATACAGCTTACAGGATTTGTGTGGATCTTTTAGAAAGAACGATTTCCAGTGAAAGCGGTTAAACGAGCGGTCGAGACGGTAACCGCCAAAAAAGTTCTTGGAAAAAAAGTTTCCAATAAAAAAGTCCTAAAATTACGCACTGAAAAAGTCATGTGGAAAAAAATTATTTTATTTAAAAAGTCTCTGAAAATAAAGTCCTACCAATTCGAGATTTTATTTTCTATGACTTTTTTCTGGCTCCAGCATGATTTTATTTAAGAATATGATGTACCTAATACCTCGATGTACAAAATCTTTCTTATGGCTTTTTCCTGCAGACTTTAATTACTGAGTTCAAATTTCCAGAGACTTAATTTTCCTCAGGACTTTTATTCCATGATTTTTTTCCCTGAAAATTTATTGGCAGCCCTCATGCTATTTTAGGAAAAAAAGTCCCAGGAATCTAAAACACAGGACGACATTATTTCCAGTGATATTTTTCCAAGGATTTTAGAAAATTCGGACTTTTTTCCAGAATTTTAATTCCAGGTTTTTCCCAGAAACTTTTGTTCCCGGGACATTTTGGGCTTAAATAACTTACAATTTTGAAAATTATGACATTGGTTTGTATTTTAAAAACTTGCAATAAAAATAGTTTTATAATGCATAAAACTTCAAATTTCCCAAATTTGTCGTTAAATTTCAGATTTCTATTTTAATGAAATAGTTGAGTTTTACAGTAAAGGATGACATTACACTGTACCTTACAATGGCCTCATAGTGTACATTTTATACAGGCTTTAGGCAAAATATTTTACAGTTTTTTATTTATAAAATAATATTGGAAGGAAATATTTTCTTAGTTTTCCCACGTGCGGTGGATATGGAGGGAGGGAAGGCGACTCCTTTGGAATGTAGACGATTCTAGAATATATATTTATAAATGCGAATATTACCCAAAAAGGATGAAACTTCAATGACGACATTAATTTATAGGTTTTATTTAAGGGTTTGCCACAAACGCCAATTTTCAAACCCCTTTATTTTTGAAATCTGAAGTTTTAAACCTTTGATATTTCAAACTTAGTTCATTTGATCTAACATAATTCGTAGTTAGAAATATCAAAAGTCTACGATTTGGGGTTTCAAAGATATAGCGATTTAAAAATTAGATTTTTTGGCAAAAACTCAATTCCTTAAAGGATGTTCACAACTTCAATTAATCAAGAATGTAAGAACAATGACTGAATAAGTCCTATTTAGAGTTTCATGCTTTGTAAGTAACCCTGCAGAATCTGACCGTGATGAGTTATCACATAAACCTCTGCATCATTTGAAGTACCAGACTGACTTTTAAGCAGCAAGAGCCAAAATTTAAGCGCAAGAATTGTTGCATTTTACTGTATTTACATATGGAACCGAAAGAATAGATTGTGTTTGATCAAATCAATATAATTCTGCAAATCAAAATTGTAAATTGTATAACGCAAAATTTCAATCCAAACTCCTCTTATTTCTAATATGTCACCGGGTAAATTAGTTCTAGAGGAACTATGAGGTCACAAAGTTGTGCTGAGAACATTCCCTGAATTTGACATTCCACTTAAAGGGACCGTTCATTTATTTGGGTAATTTGAGGTTAAACGAAACAGCCTATTCGCTGTTGATTGGTATTAGTCTTACTTTTCAAAGACAACTGTAGCTGGAGAAAAAGCCTATTTTTTCGTTCAGAATAGGGGTTCCATTCGCAAAACTTTGCGCAATTTTTGCGGAACGAAACACAAAATTTTTCTTTCTTTGAGCATCAGTTTTGCGCGAAAAAACAACAATTTGCGCAATTCGCAAAAGTCATTTCGCGCAAAATTGCCCTTTTCCGCTTTTGCGAAACTCAAGTTTTGCGCAATTCTGCAACTAGAGTTTTGCGCAATTCCGCAATTTCGTAAAAATCTAACGGTTGGTGACGGTGTGTGTTTCTCAGAATTCAATTCTTCCAGTCCTGGAAGGTTTTGTACCAAAATATGAAAAAAAGATTGTCCAGTAAAAGTCTCGACAATTTTAGTTTTGGACATGCATATTTCCTAAAAGTGGATTCTTCAGGCATTGGTTACTTTCTTGCATTATTTTATATGAGATTAAAAAGATTTCAGAAATTAAGATTATAATTCATTTTTGATTAGGCAAAGCTTTTAAGGGTCACTTGAAATTATTTAATAGGATTAAAATATTGCCAAGTTTCACACTCTCTAATTTCTATTTTATTAATTTTGGTCCCTTAATTTAAACTTTTTGTAACTGAAAGTAACCAATTGAGTGTAGTATAATCGTTATCATACTCGTATGTTAATATTTTTTTTATGTATGGAATAAATCTTCAGTTGTTTAATTCTAAGCTTAGAATATCAATTTTTGACAATTTGCCTAAACAGTTACATTTTGCGTAAAACTTGCGGTTTTGCGCAAATTGCGCAAAAAAAATTGCGCTAAACTAAAACTTCGTTTCATGCGCAACTTTTGCAAAAGATTTATCTGGTTTAGCGCAAATTGCGCAAAACTCATTGCGTTTCATGCGCAAAAATAGCGCAAAAGATTTAGCCATTTCTTGGAAACCCTAGTTCAGAATTCGAGCGGAAATGTATGGTACCTCTCTATAGACTGTTTAGTTTACCCTCAAATTACCCAAATAAGTAAACGGTCCCTTTAAAGGGAGTGTTCTCGAAAAATGAAAGGGGGTATAGGCTTAATGCGATAAAAAAGCGCTTTTGATCGCTACTAATCATACTTCTATCTGTTGCGTCTGTAAGGAGAAAATTGTTAAAGACGTCTCATACCGAATAACTTAGCGGCCATACAAATTGAGACTGTTTAGTTTACCCTCAAATTACCCAAATAAGTAAACGGTCCCTTTAAAGGGAGTGTTCTCGAAAAATGAAAGGGGGTATAGGCTTAAGGCGAAAAAAAAGCGATTTTGATCGCTACTAATCATACTTCTATCTGTTGCGTCTGTAAGGAGAAAATTGTTAAAAACGTCTCATACCGAATAACTTAGCGGCCATACAAATTGAGAAAATTGCAATATACTACTTAGACCGTAAAAAAATCAATTTAATTTCAAACAAATCATTTAGATATTACAACCTATAGTCATCGATTATCTTTCGCCACATTTGTATATAGTTTATATTTTATAATAGTTTATTTTTTTAGGAAACGTTTTCAACGGATTTCGAAAATTGTGAGTGGTGTGCGGCATTCTTAGATAGTTGCGCAACCGACAAGAGAAACAAACAAATTAATTTAAAAATATTATAAAATATAAACTATATACAAATGTGGCGAAAGATAATCGATGACTATAGGTTGTAATGTCTGAATGATTTGTTTGAAATTAAATTGATTTTTTACAGTCTAAGTCGTATGTTGCAAGTTTCTCAATTTGTATGGCCGCTAAGTTATTCAGTATGAGACGTCTTTAACAATTTTCTCCTTACAGACGCAACAGATAGAAGTAAGACTAGTAGCGATCAAAAGCGCTTTTTTATCGCATTAAGCCTATACCCCCTTTCATTTTTCGCGAACACTCCCTTTAAGTCTAGTTCAGTGAGAATCTGTCGAAATATATTTTTAATTCACTCACATGAGAAGAGAAATAGAAATATACGTGCATGGAAACCAAACAATGGGCACCAGACATTTTATAGATTTTGGTCTTTTTTCAGGGACAATTTAAAATCTTTTTTTCATTTAAATTTTATCATTTTATATATGACAAGTGGAATGTGGATAATGATATAATGAACTTTCACTTGATAAATATTTTTAGTTTTAAGTTCTAGAAAAAGTTTCTAAGAATTGTTACTTTCCCCCCCTCCGTCTCTGGTATATAAGGATGGTACAAGGAGTGTACTATGTGCAGTTGGCTTCATTTCTCTGCAATACTTGAGAATGCAATCAGTTCTAAACAGGTGAAGCATTATACAATAACCATGTTTATAAAGAAACGTAATTTAACCGATTTCCTTTTTATTGAAAATTATTTTTACAAAAAAAGTTTTGCTTTTATAGTAGAAAATAAAAACATAAAATTTAAAAAACTTTTTAAAAAGATATTTTTTTACCACTTTACTAAATATGACCTAAAAGTTAAAATTTAATAATAAGAATAAAACTTTTAAATACTATTTTTATAATTTGTAGATTGATATTCTAATTAATTCGCTAGCTCATAAAATTAAATATCTTTTTAACGAAATAAAAATATGAACAACTTATTTTTTAGGATTTTCTCGGCACTTCTTTTTACCAGCATTTGCCTAGGTATTAATAGTTACCAGCCTGCATACAAAAACTTTTTTAACAATTAAAAAGACAAAAAAAGTAATGTTTTAATGTTAGAAAATAGAGTAAGATTGATAAAAAATGAATTGATTTAAAAAATTAAGGGTTATATATTTATTGTAGGGGCAAAGTTACCCCGGGGAGAAAGAAGAAGCGGTGCATCACTAAACAGCAAAACGGAGGGAAACAGTGTACAGTGGGATGATAGAACCGAGTCTCGAGGATTTTCGAACAACTTTGGCGGATTTGTTGGATCTGGAATAAATGATTACTTTTTCTCGCATAAAAATTTGACAGTTGCAGAGTTGATAGAGGTAGAAATGTTTTTTAGACATTGCATCTTTTTAAAATTTGTTTTTGTCATGTTTTTGACTGTTTTTTTAAGGAATGGAAAAACAATTTTGCGTGACACTCCATTTTTACGTAAACCCCAAGTACGTCGTTATATTTCAACTGTCAATTTTCAGAGAAAAATTAAAATTTCAACTTCTAATTTAATAACATTATATTCTTAATTACAGAGACATACTGCCCTGAGAAAGTTTAAGAAAGCTTTAGAAAATGCGAATATTGGAGATCTGCTGGAGGGTCCAGGACCTTTTACCATCTTTGTTCCAGCAAGTAGGATTTATACGGACAGATAACGAAACAAGACATCTCCTAGGATAAAAAGAAACTGATCACTTTCCAGACACTCTAATTGTCAATCCTTTCATTTTTGTAACCTAATGTAGTAGACCAATGAATTCTGATTGCAGATTAAAGATATTCACCATCAGGTTTCCATAATATAGTGATTTGAAGACAGGAGTTTGAGAGGCAAGTGTTCAGTTTCTATTAACATTTTGATGTTTTTATAACTTTTAACTTCTCAAAATGTTCTCAAATCTCCAATATTAGGATGCGAGAAAGCAACTAAATATGAAAATGTTCTCAAAACTTTAACCTTTTCCAAAAAAAAAATCCTAATTTCTCATTCTCCAGGTGGAGCTCTGGGTTGGTATAGTTCCAACAGGGATGACAAGGATATTGTTATGAATCATATAATCAGTAGAAGGTACACTATAGTAAAATAAATATAAAAATGTATCTAAACTACAAGGATATTGTTATGAATCATATAATCAGTAGAAGGTACACTATAATAAAATAAATATATAAATGTATCTAAAGTACAAGGATATTGTTATGAATCATATAATCAGTAGAAGGTACACTATAGTAAAATAAATATATGAATGTATCTAAACTACAAGGATATTGTTATGAATCGATATAATCAGTAGAAGGTACACTGTAATAAAATAAATATATAAATGTATCTAAACTACAAGGATATTGTTATGAATCATATAATCAGTAGAAGGTACACTATAATAAAATAAATATATAAATGTATCTAAACTACAAGGATATTGTTATGAATCATATAATCAGTAGAAGGTACACTATAATAAAATAAATATATAAATGTATCTAAACTACAAGGATATTGTTATGAATCATATAATCAGTACAAGGTACACTATAGTAAAATAAATATATAAATGTATCAAAACTACAAGGATATTGTTATGAATCATATAATCAGCAGAAGGTACACTATAGTAAAATAAATATATAAATGTATCTAAACTACAAGGTACCATGGCTCATATATGTATGTAAAGAGGGAGTTTACTATAGAGATAATAATAAATTATATATATATATGATCTTTTAGATGATATTTATTCTATTTTTAAATTGTCTGCTGCTCAAAAAAATAATATGCGGAAGTAAAAAGTGACGAAATAATAATTTGAACGAGCAAAATTAACAAAATTATTATTTTTTCATTAAAAAGTTTACATAGCAATCTTCTAACACTTTTTGGAATTTTTAACAGTGGACAATGGACATATTATGTTATTATCAAAATTAAAATGATTGATTATTGTGGTTAAAAGCTATACATACATATTTGACAATTATATCTTTTAAAAATCACATGTCTGACTCATGCTAGTGCATTAATGCATGGGAAGTAAATAATTACAATAAAATATCAAACATATGGTAACATTAAAGACTCCGTGCAAAGATGGCCGGCAATACCCGTTTCACAAGTGACACTATAGATTTTAAAACTAATTATTTCTAACTGTGGTTTCTCTTATAAACGTATCAGTATTATCAGAATTAAACACTTTTAAACCTAGAAAAATTAAAACATCTTCCTCATTACTAATATTTTAAAATAAACTACAGGCTTGAACGGAAAGACATTCCGGAAGGAACTAATACGTTTAGAACGCTAGGTAGGCTTTTTATAGATTTTTTTTAAATATAAGCCAATTTAGTAGATAAACTGGTGTAGTCAACTATTAAAAAATCCTATAAATAACACCCCAAAAATAGCCAATTATGTTGCTCTTATAAGATTTCCATGAATTCCAATGAATGATCGTTATATTCTGTCAAGATATTCTTTGTAGCGGTTAAAGCAGAAAAATAAATGTTCATGTATCTAATCTAACTGTTTTTATTATTTGTTTTAAGTGTGTCCGTTTGATCATAACTAATAAAACCCTTGACAAACCTGGGTTCCCGAGCTAGTTTTATATACGATTTCCAATCATTTATATTTACAAAAGAATTATTTTTTTTTGCCACAAACTTAAATTTTCTAATTCCTATATCTGTGCAACCTGATATTGTAAATTATTTATTATTTCAAACTTTTATTGTAACTATTTGATATAACAGAACTCATAGTTTGAAATGTCTAAGGTCTACGGCTGTAAATATATAGGGATTAGAATATCAGAGTTTGTGGCAAAGGCTAAATTCCTGGTTTTAAGGACCTGAGTTTTCCCCGCAAACTGAAGTTTTCTAATCCCTTTATCTTTGCAACCCGATAATAAAAACCTCAGGTTGAAAAGATACAGGGATTAGAAAATCAGAGTTTGTGGCAAAAACTCAGTTCATTCACTAGAAAACCGGGGTTTCCGACAAGAACGCTGGAATTCTTTAGGCTGTTGCAGTATTGATTATTTTAGCCTTCAAGGACATCTTTCAGCAGTAAAATTGGCGAAAGGAATTGAGTTTTTGCCACAAACGCTTGATTTTCAAATTTCAATATTGTTGCACTTGCAACCCAATGTCGTAGACTTTTGATTTTTCAAACTATGAATGCTGTTAAATCAAATAATGTAAGTTTGAAATTTCAAAGATTTACATCATCAGGTTGCATCAATTCCTGTGTGCTTCTGATTTAAAAGTTGGAATACCATATTTTATCAAATAGGTAACAATCGTTTTAAACAGAATTTTCCTATTTCTGCAATTGCTAAATATAATTTTTTGGAATATTTGTCTAACATTTATTTTAAAATTTTTTTTTTTGTTATTGGTACCGATCATACAAAACAATTTTATCTTAATTATCTTTGTTTTCATTTCTTTTGATTATTTTTAAACTTTTTTAGGTGGAAGCTCCTTGACTCTGATCAAAGATAAAGAATTTGATTTCCTGGTAGATGTACGAAATCAGGAGGTATTATTTAAAAAATAAAAAAATAAATTAGAGGGATGAACACAAAAACCATAAAAACACCTAAACACTTGTTTATATTTCATGTTTTTTCTAAAAGAAAGTTTTAAAAGTTTTTCTTGAATTTTAAGTTGAATGGCATCGAGTTGTGATAGATATAAACTTAGTTTTATCGATTTTGGATTTAATCATTGTTTATCATTTTTCATTTTTTTTGGATCCGTTTCTTTAGCAATATTGTTTAATTTTTTTCTTAGTGTAAATACTAAATATCAACCATTTCTTTCTTTAAACCAGTAAAAGTATTAGACGTAATAAAAAAAATAATTGTCCCCCCAAAAAAGAAAGAAAAATAGAGCATATTTTGAAAACTAATAAATTTAGTTTAATAAATCAGTAACAATGATAATTCTACCTGATGTTTCTGTGAAAATTTTTTTATAAAACCGTTCAGCTGTAATCTGAATTTCGTGAACAGTCTCTTTAAGGATATATTTGTTAAGGGCGAGGAGGCGAATATTAAAGTATTTAATCTGCGAGGGAAGAACGGTGTTATTCATATAATCAGTTCTATTCTATAAATATATATTCATATAATCAGTTCTATTCTATAAATATATATTCATATAATCAGTTCTATTCTATAAATATATATTCATATAATCAGTTCTATTCTATAAATATATATTCATATAATCAGTTCTATTCTATAAATATATATTCATATAATCAGTTCTATTCTATAAATATATAATATTCATATAATCAGTTCTATTCTATAAATATATATTTCAATATTTATATCAGGGGCCTGTAACAATGCAATTTAAAGGGACTAAACACGTTATTTCACCGGACCTTTAGAGTGGCATATCCGACTCAAAACGGTGACCTTAAAATATCTTTTCTTATTAAAAATAAGAAAAGATATCTTCGGTTTCCTGTTTAAAAAATGTTAATTTAATAGAAAAATAGGGAAGAATATCTTTTCATCCTTGATCATACAAAGGTTTAAGGGTTGCCACTTTTTCTAAAGTTCACATAAAATTAAGTGTATATAGTCCCTTTAAGGAACAGGGATTCTTTTTTTATCCACCATGCAAATTACACGCCCCTGGTCTTATATACAAGTTTCTTTTTTTATGATAGGTATTGTGTAAACAAGAAATAGATTCATAATTATTAATCTTGGCTTTTTGTATTCCACGTCATGTTGGGATTTACACTCTATTTTATTAATAGGGGGGGGGGGTTCTATTTTCGCCTAATTGAACAGTAAAATTATTGAAAACTAAACCGTTGTGAATACCTGAACGGTTTTTGTTAATGTCAACATTGATAAATAAGAGTTTTATTTCTCCTACACAATACCTACTAAACAACTATTGCTTTTATAAGATAAATTCTATGAATTTATTAAAACCCAAATCTACAGTTTTATATAAATTTTACTAACGTTTTTTAATTTGTTTGTTTTCTAGTTGTAACATTGTAACTCTGTAACTCTATGTCTGTTATAATCAAACTAAAAATATCGGATCTCTACAGTATTATTATTATCATTGTTATCATTGTTATCATTGTGTTACTATTTATAAATTCAAACTGTTTAATATAATCAAAGTAGAAAACCAAAAGAACCGGTTGTCGAAAATATTGGCGTGAATTTTGCAAAATATTTTTCCAGGAATTTATTGCAGAATTGTGAAATAATTGCAATATTGTTCTTAACATTGTATTTTCTTGGTTAAAAATCTGTAAAACTGCACAATAAAGTTATTTCTGCAACATTTGATTTTTATTTGCTGTTATCGCATGATTTAGTATTTTATAGTTTTATATTTTAATTATTTAAGAAAATAAAATTACTTAACCATTTATTGTAGAGGGCGCTTTGATTGTGTCGAAAACCATTGGCTAGAACAGAACCATTGAATTTCTCAGAACCAATGGCTAAAACAGAACCATTGGTTAGAACAGAACCATTGGCTAGAACAGAACCATTGAATTTCTCAGAACCAATGGCTAAAACAGAACCATTGGTTAGAACAGAACCATTGAGTTTCTCAGAACCATCGGTTGAAAAAGAAGCATTTATATTATTAAAACCATGGATTGTATAACAGAACTATTTATTGTAGCGAAACCGTTGATGGAAATATTTTTAGTAGGAGAACCATTGAAACAGAACTATTTATTGTAGCGGAACTTATTTATTTTAATGGAACCATTGGTTGAAACAGAACTATTTATTGTAGCTGAACTTATTTATTTTAATGGAACCATTGGTTGAAACAGAACTATTTATTGTAGGGCAACTTGTTTATTGTAGTGAAACCATTGATTGTGACAGAACTATTTATTGTAGTAGAACTTATTTGTTGTAGTGGAACCATTGGTTGTGACAGAACTATTCATTGTAGTGGATCTTATTGATTGTAGTGGAATCATTGGTTTTGACAGAACTATTTATTGTAGAGGAACTTATTTATTGTAGGGGAACCATTGGTTGTGACAGAACTGTTTATTGTAGGGGAACCATTGGTTGTGACAGAACTGTTTATTGTAGGGGAACCATTGGTTGTGACAGAACTAGTTATTGTAGTGGATCTTATTTATTGTAGCAGAACTTATTTATTGTAGTGAAACTTATTTATTGTAGTGAAACTTATTTATTGTAGTAAAACCATTGATTGTGACAGAATTATTTATTGTAGTGGAACTTATTTATTGTAGTGGAACCACTGGTTGAAACAGAACTATCTATTGTAGTGGAACTTATTTATTGTAATGGAACCATTGGTTGTGACAGAACTATTTATTGTAGTGGAACTTATTTATTGTAGTGAAACTTATTTATTGTAGTGGAACCATTGATTGTGACAGAACTATTTATTGTAGCGGAACCATTGGTTGTGACAGAACTATTTATTGTAGTGGAACCATTGGTTGTGACAGAACTATTTATTGTAGTGGAACTTATTTATTGTAATGGAACCACTGGTTGAAACAGAACTATTTATTGTAATGGAACCATTGGTTGTGACAGAACTATTCATTGTCGTGAAACTTATTGATTGAAAAGTAACCATGGGTTGAAATAGAAGTATTGTCTGAAATGTATCTCAACCCGTAACTGTAATTAAGTGTAATTATAGATGAATCAGAACCAATAATTGTATCTATCCTTAATATCCATTGGTTGTATTTTTAACTGTTTCAAACCCATGACTGTATCTTTAGTTCTATCAGAACCTACATTTACATGTACCAGAACCATTGTTTGTATCCGTAGGTTTATCAGAACCACTAGTTATTGTATCTTTGGTTATACCAGAACTTTTGGTTGTATAGCTGTACCTTTATTAGAACCAATGCTTGTATAGCTGTACCTGTATCGGAACCAATGGTTGTATAGCTGTACCTGTATCAGAAACAATGGTTGTATAGCTGTACCTGTATCGGAACCAATGATTGTATAGCTGTACCTGTATCGGAACCAAGCTGTTCTAGTTTAGGTTCTGGTTGAACCTAAGGTAAAGTTTCCTTGATTGCATGTTATAAAACTAGAAAGTTTGAGGGGAAACTATTGAAAAACAAGTCTCTAACTTCAGCATTTATTAGGTTTGTTGATACTTCTATCAATTTTTCTTCGAGAAAAACAAAACAACATCATAGGCTATCATTTTCTACATCTGAGTAAAATTTGTACTTTTTCATTTTTAGTCATCTCCTTGCAGTCCTGAACCCCTTTCCTTCCCTCCTTTAAAGCTCTAAATAAGTAGATATTGCATCAATGGGTCCATATACTGAATATTTCCCCCAGGAAACCTCCTTGAACAATTCCCTTTTTGTGAGTGGTGTCAGGATACCTTTCTTTTGTTTGTTCATTACAGTGTAAACTATCCCTTGGTACTGGTTTACCCCCCCCCCTGGAAATTATTATGACTATTATTATTATTATTATTATTATTATCATTATTATCTTCATTTCATAAAACCAGATAAGCAGATACAAATATTCTTCAAAAGTTTCAATTTTCTGTTACCCTGTAACTTTCTGATTCGTTTAAAAGGAACACAAAAATGCTATATTGCATGGTATATATTAAGTACAAAAACAGCTGTTTTTCTTATCGCCGTAGAAAGTATAGGAGACTTTATGTGCGTGGCCCGTCGGTGCTAATTATATAAAGGTACTTATAAACATGTTCTTGACAACCCTGGTTTGAATCTATTGCCCGAGAAAAAATTGTAATCGGGATTTCTTTTTTTTTCAATGTAGAGGCCCTCCTCTCACTCCTGTATGCCGAGTCTATTAGTGCCTCATCCGATCAGGGTTTGTCATGTGTGTGATGTCTATTCTGAACCAATAGAAATAGTATGGCGGTAACATCTATCTTTCTATCTATCTCATTATCCAATCAGAGTTATGAATCCTTAAATCAGCGCTATCAGTAAATGGAAATATTTACTTCTACTGAGACTATAGTGATACTATAAGTCTTGGGAAAATCTCGAGATTGTTTTTATTATTGTGGTTTGAGTCAGATTCCACTTCTCTTCCTGTTGAAATATTAAGCTATATAGAGAGAACATTAATAACCGTAGGTTATGCGCGCATCTAGATATTTATATTAAAGGAACATTGGGAAATTTGATTACAGTTAGTAAAGAAATAGATTGCTGATATAAATTGCAGGTTATGAAAATGTTAATACAGCGCGTTATATAAAGAAATATATTTGGGAATGAATTAAGTCTTTGCCACAAACTAAATTTTTCTAATCCCCATATCTGCGCAATCTGATGGTGCAAACTTCGATTATCTAGTCTAATAGAGTGTATAGCTTGAAATAGCTAAGGTCTAAAAAATTGGGTTGCAAAGACATTGGGATTAGAAAATCAGAGACTTAAGAAGAAATATTTTTGGGAATGTGATTAAAGCTTATGAAGAAATAGATTTGGAAATGTGATCACAGCTTATGAAGAAATAATGTGATCACAGCTCATGAAGAAATAGATTTGGAAATGGGATCACAGCTTATGAAGAAATAGATTTGGAAATGTGATCACAGCTTACGAAGAAATAGATTTGGGAATGTGATCACAGCTTATGAAGAAATAGATTTAGGAATGTGATTAAAGCTTATGAAAAAATAGATTTGGAAATGTAATCACAGCTTATGAAGAAACAGATTTGAAATGTGATCACAGCTTAAGAAGAAATATATTTGGAAATGTGATCACAGCTTATGAAAAAATAGATTTGAAATGTGATCACAGCTAATGAAGAAATAGATTTGAAATGTGATCACAGCTTATGAAGAAATTGATTTAAAAATGTGATTAAAGCTTAGGCAGAAATAGATTTGGAAATTTGATCACAGCTTATGAAGAAATAGATTTGGAAATGTGATCACAGCTTATGAAGGAATAGATTTGGAAATGTGATCACAGCTTATGAAGAAATAGATTTGAAAATGTGATCACAGCTTATGAAGAAATATATTTGGAAATGTGATCACAGCTTATGAAGAAATAGATTTAGAAATGTGATCACAGCTTATGAAGAAATATATTTGGAATTGTGATCACAGTTTGTCTAGATATAGATTTAAACTATCTTATCCAAAAGATTCAAGCTTGAAGAAAGGAAAATAAAATTTTGTAATACTCAGTCCCATTTTTATAATTGAAGACGACATTTTGATAGCTTACTTTGGATAGCATATTGGATACAGCTAACAGTGTATTGAGTACTATTCAGCAATAAAACATTGATCATGCAAAGCAACCAGGCCAAAATAAACAGGAAAAAATAAGTATTTAAGGGTGTCTAGTGTTTTGTAGTTTAATAAACTGCGCTTTATAAAAATCTGGGTTTCCTTGGCCTCTTCAGAGTTTGAGATCTGTTTCTGTTATAAAATAAAAACTTTGTAGAATAACCAGAAAAAAGTGAATATTATAAAAATGTATTCTAAAGAGTAAGTTCGTAAACTTTAGGAGATTTTATTCCGTACAGAGTAATCTGTACTGCAGTAGATGTCAAAAATTGCCTCTGAGGTCGGAACTAGAGTAATCTGTATTGCAGTAGATGTCAAAAATTACCTCTGAGGTCGGAACTAGAGTAATCTGTACTTGAGTAGATGTCAAAAATTTACTCTGAGGTCGGAACTAGAGTAATCTGTACTGCAGTAGATGTCAAAAATTAACTCTGAGGTCGGAACTAGAGTAATCTGTATTGCAGTAGATGTCAAAAATTACCTCTGAGGTCGGAACTAGAGTAATCTGTACAGTAGATGTCAAAAATTACCTCTGAGGTCGGAACTAGAGTAATCTGTACAGTAGATGTCAAAAATTAACTCTGAGGTCGGAACTAGAGTAATCTGTACAGTAGATGTCAAAAATTAACTCTGAGGTCGGAACTAGAGTAATCTGTACAGAAGTTGTCAAAAATTAACTCTGAGGTCGGAACTAGAGTAATCTGTATGGTAGATGTCAAAAATTAACTCTGAGTTCGGAACTAGAGTAATCTGTACAGTAAATGTCAAAAATTAACTCTGAGGTCGGAACTAGAGTAATCTGTACAGTAAATGTCAAAAATTAACTATAAGGTCGGAACCTTTGCGTGAAGAATCATTTTGCTTGATCAATTGATCTCGATATCCAAAAAAATAACTTTTAAAGGAACTGAGTTTTTGTCACAAACTCAAATTGTCTAATGCCTATATCTTTAAAATCTGATGATGTAAACCTTTGATATTTCAAGCTTAGATTATTTGGTCTAACAGAACTCATAGTTTGAAATATCAAAGGTATACCACATTGGGTAGCAAAGATAAAAGATTAAAAAAGTAGAGTCTGTGACAAAAACTCAGTTCCTTTGAGGATCAATGCTTGATCCCTCAAATAAAGTTATCCCGGCAGGGTATAACCGACACAGAATATCGAAGACTGATTTATTAATCCGGGTAGATCTGCATTCTGCATAAGATAGATAGCCCGGTAGTATGGATGTTAAAAATTGTATATTTTAATTGGTAAACATAAAAAATGTACTTTGTAGCTTGTCAACATAGTAAAAATGTATTTTGTAGCTTGTCAACATAGTAAAAATGTATTTTGTAGCTTGTCAACATAGTAAAAATGTATTTTGTAGCTTGTCAACATAGTAAAAATGTATTTTGTAGCTTGTCAACATAGTAAAAATGTATTTTGTAGCTTGTAAACTTAATAAAAATGTATTTTGTAGCTTGTAAACATAATAAAAATGTATTTTTTGCGACTGGTAAACATAATGAAAATATATTTTGTAGCTCGTAAACATAATAAAAATGTATTTTGTACCTAGTAAGCTCAATACAGATATAGTTTGCAGCTAGTAAACTAAATAAAAATTATTTTGTAGCTAGTAAACTTACTACAAATGTATTTGTAGCTTGTAAACTTAATAAAATGTATCTGTAGCTGGTAAGCATATTTAAAATGTATTTGTACCGGGTAAACTTTTAAAAAATTTATTTTGTAAACGTAATAAAAATATATTTTGTAATGAAGCAAAAACTGAGTATGAAAGATATACGGTTTGTTAATATAGATAAAAGCTAATCCGTAATTTTGTAAAGATGGGGGTTTTTAGGGGGGCACAAAATCTTCTATAGGGGGTAAACAAATATAAATTTCGACGCGCTGACGGGTGCGTAAATTGCCCCCCTCACAATAAAGCTCTCATACGCCTATGATAATATAGATGTATTTTGTAACATGTAAAAATAATAAAAATGTATTTTGTAGCTGGTAAACACAATAAAAATTATATTTTGTATTCTGTATACAGGTAAATATTAAATGAATTAAGGGTTAAATAAGTTATTGACGTGACAGGTTAAAAATACATAGTTTACGTAAACAAGTTTTCTGAGTGGAACTAAGTTTTATTGAGGGAAACATCAAGGGAATAATGTAATTAGTGGGAATACAGAAAGGTCGAAAGAACATGAGACACTGGATTTCATTGAATCTCGTTTTTAAATAAAACTTTTGAGTTCTACATTATTCCAAATTTTTCTGTCATCTTATAAAATATTGGTATAGTGTCCGTATATGGAAACCACTTTAACAACTTCAGGGTGTAGGGACACTATTTATAAACTGCAGAGTATTTATAAACTGCAGAGTGTAGGGAACCACTTATAAACTCCAGGGTGTAGGGAACCATTTATAAACTATAGGGTGTAGGGAACCATTTATAAACTTCAGGGTGTAGGGAACCATTTATAAACTATAGATTGTAGGGAATCATTTAAAAACTGCAGGGAACCATTTACTAAATTCAGGAGTTTTTCATAAATTAGATGATGTAATGGTACAATTTATAAACTGCAGGGTATATATATTATATATGGATACCATTTATAAATTAGAAGTTGTATTGATACTATTTTAGAAATTTGTATTTGATTTGATTATTATTTGAAGAATGGCTATAAACTCCTTTTTTTGTGTGTTTTTTTACTTTTTAACTAATGTTGTAAAGTAAGAAACCACATTTAAACAAACCAAAAAAGACGACTTCTAACGATTTTTTTTCTCCAAATGGAGAACCTGTCTGCTAAGAATGTACTAAAATTATATGTCCTGTCTCTTATTCCCCCTATTTTGTCAACAGAATAAACTTTTTTGTTAAAAATAGTTTTGTAAGTCTCCAAGGGCCTGTAGGGTAGGATTGAAGGGCCTGGGTTGGCTTGAAGGGTCTGGGTTGACTTGAAGGGCCTGGATTGACTTTAAGGGCCAAATAGTCTGGTTTGGCTTGAAGGGCCTGGGTTGGCTTGAAGGGTCTGGGTTGGCTTGAAGGGCCTGGGTTGGCACGAAGGTCCTGGGTTGACTTGAAGGGCCTGGATTGACTTGAAGGGCCAAATAGTCTGGGTTGGCTTGAAGGGCCTGGGTTGGCTTGAAGGGCCTGGGTTGGCATGTAGGGCCTGGGTTGGCATGAAGGACCTGGGTTGAATTAAAGGGCCTGGGTTGGCATGTAGGGCCTGGTTTGGCATGAAGGACCTGGGTTGACTTAAAGGTTCTGGGTCGGCTTAAAGGGCCTAGGTTGGGCTTGAAGGGCCTGGGTTGGCATGTAGGGCCTGGGTTGACTTAAAAGTTCTGGGTTGACATGAAGGGCCTGGGTTGGCATGAAGGGCCTGGGTTGGCCTTGTGATTGGATTGTAAGTTAAAGTTCTCCAATTTACTGGATATCCTTGACAAACTTCAGATATTCCCCTCTGCAGTAATAATCAGGCCATTCAGGCAGTCAGGCATTCAGGCAGTCAATACTAGGCCTTAGGGCCAGGAGCATGCAGAACAGCTCCACCCATACAAATTTAGCTATTGACACGCCTCTCAACCTATCACCCCCTGCAGCATAAGGAACCAGACTATAAAATAAAAATTAGCATAAGACTTAAAAAAGAGTACATTGCAATTTACCACATTTTTTTGGTTTTTTCGTCATTTCATGGAAAGTCAATTTATGATGGGTAATTAGCAGACAAGAAAATCACTCTATTGATAGGACATTTCATAGAAGGACATTTCATAGTAGGACATTTCATAGTAGGACATTTCATAGTAGGACATTTCATAGCAGGATATTTTATTGCGGGGCATTTCATAGCAAGAGATAAATCTGTGTTCTTATATCGTAAATAAAAGAGTACAGCATATCAAAAAAGATTATTTTGGATAAAAAACATAATTTACCCTATCCATGAAAAATCTACTTTGTCTATGAAATGTCCTATTTATAAAATGTCCTATCTTTAGAAATGTCCCAAAAGTTAGCGACTTTTAGGACAAAAAAGTTTTTAATTAGCCATACCTGAAAGTTTTAAACAATGGATAAATGTTTTGGTTAAATTAGCGCAGTATGATGTTGTCTAACGTATCCACCTATCAACATGATTTCAACGGAACCCCGCCGGCCAACATCAGGAGGCCTAGGTTGTAAGATTAAAACAGTACAAAATAATAACATTATACTCTTGTTTTCACATTCCCACCAATCGAATAGTAACAGAATGTGAGACCATATTTTCAACCAATCAGAAACTTTCTTTCCTTGCAGTGCTTCAAAAGTAGCATTCACATTAATTTTTAAAAGAATTTTCAAGTCTTTCTTCTCTGGTTTTGTTTGATGAGATTTAAAAATATTTTTTAACTTTATTTAAGAAGGGATTGTTTGTAAAATATCAATTTTTAGAATTATAAAAACACAAACGTTACAAGAAACCTAGTTTTAAATCTAATTGAACCATTTCACACAAAAGTAAATATCTTCTGCAGCTGAACAGCTTTGGGCAGCAGCAAAGCGTTAGCGTTGTGATCTTAATTCCGAAAATTTGTAGGGATTACAAGGGACCAAGGATTGTAAGGCAAGGAAAGTTATTTTAGAAGTGTACACATCTTTTGTACTGCAGTGTACTGTCTCTAGGCGGTAGTGTAAACACAAGACGGATGTCGAAGCCTGAAATGGGATCCATCTTTCACTTAAAAAATCGATTATGTGAATTATCAAAATTTTCAAAATGTAATGCTTTTAACCTCCTCGGATACTAAACGAACACTGATGCATCTATTCTTGTTTACAAATTCCGCCCAAAGAGAACTGGTTTCAATATGTACGCAGAGTATACACGACCGCAATAAACTTTCCTTGCCTTACATTCTTGCAAGGAACTATAAGCGTAATTCCAAGTGAATATCCATGCAAAGATTGGAATGTCCGATTCACGGCGGTACCCTTAATAGCATTGTCTGATTAAGTATGAATCAGATATCTTCCACAATATTTATCATATAAAGGTTTCAAGGATAACGTTGTGAATCAGACATTACCATCTTTACATTTAGGGTCTTTCTAGAAATTACGCTTACAGTCCCTTTCAGCGTATTTTGAATAGGTCAACAATCCCTTGAACTTTGTCTGTTAAGATCCTACTCTGAGAACCGTGGTGGAGGAGGAGGAGGTGGTGTAACTGGTGTAACTGTAGACGGTAGAGTTCGCAGGTATGGTTGTGAATTGGTTTGAGTAGTTTTTCAAAACTGTATTCTGTTAAAGTTCACTTTTATTAAACTTTTCAATATTTTTCATCTAAAACAAATACTCTGCCAGGGTAATATGTGTTCGAATAAACAATATTGAAAACATTTGCTCTTCTTACATTATGATAAATTTTGACCCTGATATAGGCTATAAAAAGATCCAAAAACAAACCAACTATATACAATATGCCTAGGATGTCTGGAGCCTACTCCAAACCTATGCCCTGGGCAGGAGGAGGGGCTACTAAACCACCGATGGCGAACAACTATCTGGACAGCCATGGGCTCAATGCAGGTCTGAATTGTAAATCAATTTATGTGATAATATTGTAGTGTTGTAGTGCAGTGCTATACAAGTAGCACCAGACCTTCTTGATTAAGTTATGTGAGGCTCTGGCGCCACTCTGCATATAGCAATGTGAGAAGAGAGTGTGTGACTCACCAGTGCAGTGCTACAAACAGAGTAGCACCCGACCTTCTTACTTAGATTATGTGAGGGTCTGCATGGCGCTACTCTGCATATAGCACTGGTGAGAATGCACATTATCATCCGAAAGGTGCTACGACGAGTAAGTAGATTTAAAGCAGTGTAGTTGACCATAGGGAAAAATCTGAAGACAAGTAGCTCTCCTTCTTATTCTGTGATGATGTTACAGAGATGGCATCTTATGAGCAAGAGAGTCGAGAAGTAGTTTGATTAGGTCCGGAGTGCCGCCAAGATAAAATTGAATCAATTCTCCATGCTTTCATCTGATCCTGGCGGCACTAGAACTAAATTTAAATCAGGCAGACCAGTTAAACTACTTTTCTTCATTAATTAATTCCAACCTCAATGAGAATTGATTTCAGACATATTTAATTTTGTATTTTAAGGTCTGGGGAACTCTGGTTATACTAACTACCCTAGTGTGGTAAACACTGCACCAATGCAGGCTGCTAGAATGGCAAACTATACTAGGTAAAGAAGTACAGAGCTGGGAACTGTTCTGTTGGATACTTATAATCCCGATAACTTGATCTTGATATCCACTGTGGGCACTTTCAATTTGAGGATCAATGCTAAATCTCTTCATTTCAGTTATTCTTCCAGAGTACGCTTACCATGGATATCGAATAAACATTAAACTAATCTGCAGATTAAGAAAAGATCGAGATCAAGCATTGATTTCCATATTCACAATGCAAGAGTTCCCAGCTAGCTCAGGGCAGCCATTTCTAAATGTTTAACTTTTTATTTTCTGTGACGTCTGACCTTAACATTTTGTATTTGACATCAAATAAACATTTCAGAATTACTAACATATTATGTAGGCATGTCTTATTTGGGCATAACTGCCTGCCTAAGTGCCTAAGTGCCTGAAATTTATTACAGATACCTGAAAAATGTTATCATATCTTAACAAAATGCTATCCTTTATGCAATATATTTCCTTACTGTGTGCTTTTGACAAAACACTGGCTTGTAGTTAGTGGAAGTAAGGAATTAAGTCCTTGCCACAACTCGATTTTTGTCTGGAACCCAATGGCGAAGACCTTAGATATTTCAAACTATAAATTGCGTTACATCAAATATTCTGAGATTGATTTATCATAGGTTTACATCATTATGGGTTGCAAAGATATATATCATTAGACAATTAGAGTTTGTGGCAACAACTAAATTCCTTTGTTTACAAACAAATAGTGTCCTATTTTTTATCACACAAAAGTTGTAGCTTGTGCATTTCCAGGTTGATTTGAATTTATTTTTCTGCAGTGGGACCAAAAAAAATGCAAAATAGGTAGATGACATAAGTCTGAAGTCATGATTTTAAGTAAACATATAACACAGCAACTGTGCAGTGTACACTGACCCATTTTCCTTAATCTGAGTTGATTTTCAAACTACGAAAACAATATCAAATGCACATAAGATTGATTAAATGTCGTCTTACTATTCCACAGTTTTATAAATACTCTTTATGAACCCAATTTTCTATGACAGGTTTTCACCGTCTGATTGGTCGGCCTCCAACATAGATCATTACAACTCAGCAGATGCCAGCAGGAACCTATACCAGTAAACTTATACTCTGGAAAGGAACTAATAATCACAGCCATGCGAGTTCTAATTTTTCTTTCTTTTTAGAACTTAATTTCAACTATGAGGTCTGTTAGATCAAATAGTTTAAGAAATGAATTTACCACAAATTCTTATTTTCTAATCCCTATATCGGAGCAACCCAAAGTTATACGATAATCGTTTCTTTAACCCATTTCTAATTTGTCAGAGTTAAGAAATCAGTCAAATAAGAGATTAATAAAATTTCCAACTGAGATAATATCTTAAATAATCTATGAAACTAACCCACACAAATTCAAAAGTTTTTTATTAGGACATCAAGTTAAACTGTGAAGTAATTAGTTCTCATAAAAAAACCCGATTTACATTCGTTAAAAAAAGTTTAATGTTGGTTGGTGCTTCCAGGAACCAGAGTGAGAGAGTAAGAAATGAGGCGATTAGGTTAATTCGTGAGAGAGATGATAAGACGGTGATGACTCAGAGGGATGCCGATAGAAGGATCGGAGAACGTCTTCACGATGAGGTTTGCAATGCATTTAGAGCAGCATTTTCTCATTGCGTATTTTAAATAATTGATAATTCTTTTTAAAATTCACTATGAAGGATTCTCATGCTTAAATTACAATATTTTTGTTCTTAGTGGTCGTATTTCTAAGCGTTCATTAGATTCCATTTAAGTTTTATGAATTATTTCTATCAAAATGGATATTTGACGCTACACTTTTGTTCTGTAATTCTAAAAGAACCAATTTATTGATTCAATGCTTCCATATATGTATATCAATACAACACTGTCGAGACATAATGTATCAGTGTTTGACAGGTCAAACTGTCATTTTCAATATTTCGAACACAACGATAGATTTCTGATCATTTCTAGACATTCTGGAGATCAGAGGTGCAGACCGAGTTGGAGAGGAATATCAATGAGACGCATCAGCTGGAGGCTATGAGGAAGAATCTAGAGAGAGCTCTTGCAGAAACTGAAGGCCCCATGAGAGTCAACTCAGAGTGCATTTATAACAGGTTAAAAGAAATGACGTCCATTTTAGGGAAAGAAGATTGATATTTTTACTTGCAGATTTTTGTAGCAAAGACAAAGAAGAAAATAGTTAAAATTTTAAATGTTTCCAGATTTGAAGCACAGATAAAGAATTAAATGGTACCAATGTGCATTCCACTCTTGACATGGGGGTCACTTGAACTTGAAATTAAACTTTTTCTTTTTAAGAAATAAACATTTTTTAAATGAAAAATTTGAATTCAGGGAGGGGAGGAAAGGAATTGATGTTGTGAATGATAATGTTGAGAACTCTCTGATGAGAGAGGTGGATAATATCAAGGCCTGCCAGGACCGGATGAAGAGGACTTTGGAGCAAGTTAACCATCAATTGGGAGTTAATAGGTAATAAAAAAACATTTTAAAAAACAGAAAACTTTTAAAACATTGCAAAAAGTTTACCTTATTGTGTTCTTATTGTGGAAAGATGTTAACCATTCAGATTTCATCCAAGTTGTTGAGGTTTTATCAGAAAATTCTATCAAAGTTTTTAAGAATCGATCAAAATTTTTGAAATTTGATCAAAGTTAAATGTCATTCTATCAAAATTTTTGAGATTAGATCAAAGTTTTCGGGAATTCGATCAACATTTTAAGAAAGACGTAACTCACATTAACCAAGTAGAAGCAAAACGTACAAATCATGCCACTCAGAATAGACCTGCGATATTCCTACTTTAACAGTTTCCAATAAGTGGAAGAGTCTTTTAATGTTTTCAATATGTTGAACACAATAAATGTGTAGATGTGTATACGCTGGACATAATTACTCTTCAACTTGTTTAGGAATGCCCGTCATCAACTAGAGAGAGATCTGGCAAACAAGGATCATAGCATCAATATCGATCATACCTGCCACAACCTTATGAACACCAGTAGAGCCATTAATCTTCATGGAGGAATAGAAAAGGTTACATTAATATCAATCTTCATTGAGGAATAGAAAAGCTGTTACATTAATATTAATCTTCATGGAGGAATAGAAAAGGTTTCATTAATATTAATCTTCATGGAGGAATACAAGAGGCTTAATTATCAATAATCTTTATTGAGGAATAGATAGGGTCCAATTATCATTAATCTTCATGGAGGAATAGATCAGGTCTAATTATCATTAATCTTCATGGAGGAATAGATAAGGTCTAATTATCATTAATCTTCATGGAGGAATAGATAAGGTCTAATTATCATTAATCTTCATGGAGGAATAGATCAGGTCTAATTATCATTAATCTTCATGGAGGAATAGATAAGGTCTAATTATCATTAATCTTCATGGAGGAATAGATCAGGTCTAATTATCATTAATCTTCATGGAGGAATACAAGAGGTCTAATTATCATTAATCTTCATGGAGGAATAGATAAGGTCTAATTATCATTAATCTTCATGGAGATATAGATAAGGTCTAATTATCATTAATCTTCATGGAGATATAGATAAGGTTTAATTGTCATAAATCTTTGCGGCAGAAAAGATTAGGTTCAATTACCATTAATTATAATTCACATTAAATAAGTTTTATAATTAATTAATAAATGATAATGAGTAAAGAGACATGAGGCTAAAACTTTTTGTCAGGATAGCGATGAGCCACATCGACTGAACTCGATTCAACAGTGTTAACTTTTAAACTGAAAGCTTTAAGTTTAACTCTGGGAATACCGGCAAATCCAGTTCATTTAGAATAGTTTCTAAGAAAGGGCCATCGACTGAGCGCGTTTTGAACCGACTAAAACATTTTTGTAGGTTGATCCGAATGTGAGTATTCCTGAAACATGGGCAGACTTCAGCAATAGGAATATCCAGACATCACAATGTAAGTGATATTTTGGCTAATAATATTTCAAAAGCCATAATTTTTGAATCATTCTTTACAATTACTGCACTAAATTAATTTGCATGAAAATAACTTAATTGCAGTAAACAATTTGCTATTTTTTGTTTGTGTTGCAGTAACTGATATATTGGAGTTCTTATATGGAATTTATACTCTGATTGTATTTTGTTTGCCACGTAATATATCAATTTTGTGGAACATCTTTTTTATGCCAAATGCGTATCAATGTATAGAGATATTTTTTTTTTCGAATTCCTCAAAAAGTTTTGTTACACTATGATAAAAGATTTTAGTTTTTCCAATTATACCATAATTATTTTCTTGATTTTAGCATTTTGATAACCATTTCTAAAAAAATAATCAGTTTGATCAGATTTCTATTTTGTATTCTGCTAGATGTTTTGGTAGGTTGAACACAATGATAGAATTTCTTTTAATAATAAACATGTTGTTATTGCAATGAAATATATAAATATTTGCCACAGTTTCTTGAGATTTATTATTATTTCTGATTACTGCGGACTATTATGGCAGTTAATATAAAGGAATTCCCTCGAACTATTATGGCGGTTAATATAAAGGAATTCCCTCAGGATTTAGGAAACAAGGTTAGTTGGGAACACGACCAGATTCACTCTTGAAAATTTTCCAAAGAACATTATTTTTGTGACTTCTATTGAAAGAAAAGTATTTTAAGATTTTGATAATAAGAATTTTGGAGTAGATTTAACCCTTTTATTCATTATTCACATTAATTTATTACTAACAATGAAAACCAACAATTACCAGTAATGCATCATAATTAATTTCTGATGACTTTTCGGTTGCCATGTCTGAATTTTCTGAATGTTCTTTGACAGAAATTCACTTATTCATATATATTTGTTTGTTTGTTTGCATCCAATAATCGTCAAAATACACAATTTTTTATTGTAGAACCTCATATGAGATCTAAATCAAAAAATCAAAATCTAAAAAATGCTTTTATATCACCAAAAGAGGAAAATCTGTCAAACCATTTGAAGGAGTGAAATCTTTGCCACAAATTCAAATTTTCTAACCTAATTTTGTATAAACCTTCGATTTTTTTCAAACTTTGATTATTTGATCCGACAGAATTCATGTTTTGAAATATCTAAAGTTGTAAAGATCTCGTAATCAGAAAATTAGATTGTGTGGCAAAGAGTCAATTTCTTTGTTATTTCCAAGATTTGCAGATCTGACAGAATTCATATCTTAAAATATCAAAAGTATATACGACATTTGGTGTAAAGATCTCGTAATTAGAAAATCAAATTTGTTATTTCCATTGTTTGCAGATATATCAGCAACACACGATTAATTAAAAGAAGGGCGCGAAACGCTCTCTTGAGAAACTATTTACTCATTTTTTCCTGGATAGTTTAAAGGGACCAAGATAATCACAATAAATCAATCAATCAATCTGAAGACCTCCAGTTGAATAAAATATAAAGGTTTTCACCAAATAGAATTCAAGTTAAGTGTCTGTTCTCAGGGAATTCATTATATTCCCCCCCCCCCCCGAAACACCTGCAGGGAATTTTATATTAGGGGTAGGGAAAACAAGGACAAATATGAATTTGTCTAGGATAAAATATCGTAAACAACTTGTGAAGGAGTTTGTTTGTAAAGAAGCATGCTCATTGCTCCTGGTTGTAAGCAATTTAATTTTGAGAGTTTTATGAAATTTTGATTTATTTTTGCAGTAAGAATACACACTGAAATAATTTTTACTGTATTTGTCAAACTAAACAAAAAAAGCATTATACAGCATTATAAGGGTTGTATAATGTTTTATAGATTTTCTCATTAAAACTTATAAAGAAACCGCAATCCTAATACTTTGTTTTTGGTTGCAATATTTATCGGCCTGGAATCGACATAACTTCCAAAGTAAAACCTTGCTTGCACAGTCAGGCAGAGTGTTTGCAAACCCTGGAAGATTGTTTGCAAATCCTGGCAGGAATTGACAGTCAACTTAATCCTGGTTTGGTGTAGGGGCGTAAATAGGGATGATGGATCAATAAAAAAATGGTTAAAAGTCAAAAAGTCAAAACATTATACATAATGTACGTAGGCTAAGGAATTAGGTATATAAACTATAAATTTAGGAAAGTTTGGCAACAGAACTTACAAACAATGTAGTTAAGATTACAGGTATTAAGACAAATGTTTCACGTGACCCTCCAGGCTCCAAGTGGCACGCCTGATTCCCAAAAGCACCCAAAGCTATGTTTGATCAGGAATGAATTAGATAACCATGTTTTTTTCTATGAAAATTGATTTCTTTTACCTCAGGTCCTGTTGTAATGAAATTTGTCTCGCGGTTAAAACCATTTTGTCCATACGTACATAATAAGGCTCATATATAATATAAAAGCTATAGCGGGCCAACAGTCTGCACCAAATTAGCTGAATTATCTAAAGAAGACCCAAGGGTACCAGAAACCCTAAGGGGTAACATTTGTTTCAAAATTGTTTTTTGAAGTGTTTTTAAAATTTCACTGGCAACGCAGGGCACTTAAGATATTTGGTGAATATTCAAAAAACTTTATTTTCAATTTTTAAATTGTTCAGCTGCCCGATCTGCTAGTCAGAGGTTGAGGGCTGAGGTAGATAACCTCATTACTCAATGTGCTAATGAGATGTGGTCTCACTGGAGTAATACAAACATGTCCTTCCAGCAGAGAATTACGGAGGTAAATACAAACATATCCTTCCAGCAGAGAATTACGGAGGTAAATACAAACATGTCCTTCCAACAGAGAATTACGGAGGTAAATACAAACATATCCTTCCAGCAGAGAATTACGGAGGTAAATACAAACATGTCCTTCCAGCAGAGAATTACGGAGGTAAATACAAACATGTCCTTCCAGCAGAGAATTACGGAGGTAAATACAAACATATCCTTCCAACAGAGAATTACAGAGGTAAATACAAACATATCCTTCCAACAGAGAATTACGGAGGTAAATACAAACATATCCTTCCAACAGAGAATTACAGAGGTAAATACAAACATTTCCTTCCAACAGAGAATTACCATGGTCCGTACAGTTACGAGTTACCCACAAAGGGTGAGACTGTAAAGACGACTGGCAACTTTTCAAATATGACGAATTTTTGTTTTGATTAAATCTTCTGTCTTGAATTTGTCTTTAAATGGTTTATTAAATGATTTTGCAAAAGAAAAAGAAGTTTATGATTTCAGGTGATCATAAATATAAGGAAACAGTCAGTATTAGATTCCGTACAGTCGTCTCTGAAGTCTCATCTTTTATGGGTAACCCTGTAAATCCCTTCTTTTCATGAGATTGTCTTCATAGTTTCATGATACTTACTTTCTGGAGAATACATGAAATCACCTGTATAGAAGCAATTGAGTAGAAATTAATTTGAAGCGACAAATTAAATTCCAAAAGTTGTTGTTAAAGCTGTTGACACAACTGATTTTCATTATACAGGGTTACCTAGTGATGAGACGTCAGAGACAACTGTCCGGAATTTATATTGCCTGTTTCCTTAAATTTATGAATTTTTGCAATTCTATAAACATTTTTCCTTTCTTGAAATAAGCCATTTAAAGACCACAATCAAGGCAGAAGACTTTTTTCGAACTTGGAATCATCATTTTTATATCCCCTTTGTGGGTAACAATACAAAAATAATATTTTTTATTTTGGTGCAGACATAATTTTTATATGGATGATTAGATAAAGATTCATGCTTCACCCAGATTTTATCTAAATGATCTTTTTGACTTTGTAAAGAAAAGTAATGCCTTTAAGAAAAAAAATCCCATTAAAATTTTTTTTTTGGATTAAATTGATAAGTTTTTATTAAAGAAAGATGCTACAGCTTAAAACTGGTGAATTCTAGTTTCCATAAAAAAAATCTATTTTTTATTTTTTTTATTTTTCCAGACCAACGATGCACACAACAAACTACAATCTCATCTTAGCAAAACAATGCAAGAGATCTACGATCAAGAAAAACATATTGAGCATCTCAAGAAAGCAATCAGGTGACATCAAATCTTTAAACGAATTATGTTTTACGTTAAAGTATAGAGTAAATTGCAGCGACCATTGAAATCTTGCATGTTTTCAACAATAACTTCTTTGTGAGCTATTTTGAGAAGGTTTTGATTTTCTAATATATAACCAGATAAAGGAATTGAGTTTTTGCCACAAACTCAAATATTCTGATCCCAATATCTGTGCAACCAGATGGTGCAAACCTTTGATATTTCAAACTTAGATTATTCTATCTATAAGTATTAACAGTTTGAAATATCTAAGGTCTACGACATTGGGTTGCAAAGATATAGAGAATAGAAAATCAGAGTTTGTGGCAAAAACTCAACTCCTTTGCATTTCTAATATTTATACGTAAAAGTCTCAGTCTCATAAGTTTTACCCTTCATTGAATCATCTTCATTTTTGCATGCAATATGCATCTCCTCCTCCCTCCCCCTCCCCTCTCTTTTAAATTGAAGATATACCCCTCACCGCTGTACATGTGAGTCATTCCCCTTGTTGCATTTTACTAAGTTTATTCACAATTTATTCTTGGGGCTACTGTTTCTGTTTAAAAGGAGTAAATGGTAAAATACTGCTTTAATTTTGTGTTAGAGCGTGCACATCTTGGTTTGCAGTGTTAGAAAGGTGGTTATTATAGATATTTGGTAAAAATGTGATCGAAAATAGCGCTAAATGGATAGAAAAATTATATCGACCCAGTAATTGCATGTACCGGAACCGGTCGGACTCAGCTGTACCGTACATTCTGGATTTTATCTGGGTAAAAATAACTGTATACTCTCTAGGGACAAGCTGGGCGCCTCCAGAAGGTTTAGCTGAGTGAATATAATTGTGTACTCTCTAGGGACAAGGGACCCCCCCTGAAGGTTTAGCTGAGTGAATATAATTGTGTACTCTCTAGGGACAAGGGACCCCCCCTGAAGGTTTAGCTGAGTGAATATAATTGTGTACTCTCTAGGGACAAGGGACCCCCCCTGAAGGTTGCTCAGACCAGGTTGGAGGCAAGATCTCATCGGCCTGATATAGAACTCTGCAGGGATCCTCCTCATCATAGGCTGGTAGAAGAGGTAATCAATCAATTAATCAATAATTCATCAATTTTGGATTTAATCTTGTAATAGAAAAATTGAAAATAAAATTTGCCTTTTTCCATGTTAAATGCACTTTTAAAATTGACAAAACAGTTCAATGATTTAGTTTTTTTTTTAAATAATTGAAGTTCAGGTAGGGGCGTATTCAGGAATTTGTTCAGGGGGCTAACATTTTTTCTTTCTAGGGGGGGGGGGGCTCAGCAACCAATGCGGCACAAAAACTATGGGAAACCATAGATTTCGCTGATCAAGGGGGAGGGGGTTGAACCTTTATAGACAACCCCCGAGTACGCGTCTGAGTTTGGATTCAAAAAGTTTACTAATATAAATTTCAGATACTACATACTACTTGTTTGCGCATACTTTTGAATTTGAATGCATCCTTGATTTATTTTGATGTAAAAGAAGTATGTTTATATCTTTTGTTTCAATAGTTAAACTTTTTCATCCAGAGTTGAACTCTCTGTATCTAATTCAATTTCTTCTACCTATTCATTAACTCCGACCTTAGATAGATTTGTCAAAATGTTTAAAAGATCAACGAATCATATGTTTTAAAATCAACCGAAAAGCATTTATGAAACCTTTTTCTTTTATCAATTTTGAATTAAAGAAAAGTGTTGGTTTCGTGTTTTCTCTGCAAAATCTAAATGGAAAAATGACTTGCAAAATCTAATATTTGTTTATCCCACCAAAAGCTTTGCAAAAACGATTTGCTAAACAGGAAGGCATTGTTTTTGGCCTATTTTTGATAGACAGATAGATTACTGCAAAAATAGCTTTTGCACTAGCTGTGTCAAGGGTCAATGATCCATTTCTTTAAACTTTCAAATTTTAAAATTACGATAATTTAAAGGGACTGTTAAGGAAAAATGAAAGGAGATAAAGGCTAAAACCCAAACAAGAGTCCTATAACTGTTCATAAAGCTACATAGCATGACCTAGTCCTTGGCTTGTTCAGTCGACTCGAACCCCCTTTAATTCCAACCAGGATTATCTCTGGAACAAGGATTGAACCGGGACCGAGGGAGGGGAACCAACTCAGCGCGTTATGAACAGATTTAAGATTTAAAAGTTTTGACCTTGGGTTTGATTAAACTCAATATATCTCTATATTTGATAAAACTCTATGTTTGATTAAACTCTATATCTCTATATGTTTGATTAAACTAGATATCTCTCTATGTTTGATTAAACTCGATAACCCTTTATGTTTGATTAAACTCAATATCTCTCTATGTTGATTAAACTCGATATCTCTCTATGTTTGATTAAACTCAATATCTATCTAGGGACAAGGGACCCCCCCTGAAGGTTTAGCTGAGTGAATATAATTGTGTACTCTCTAGGGACAAGGGACCCNTCGATATCTCTCTATGTTTGATTAAATTCGATATCTCTCTATGTTTGATGAAACTTGATATCTCTCTATGTATGATTAAACTCAATATCTCTCTATGTTTGATGAAACTCGATATCCCTCTATGTTTGATTAAATTCGATATCTCTCTATGTTTGATTAAACTATATATCTCTCTATAGGTTGGACAGATCCAGGAGAGTATTGATCTATTAAACAGGAAACTTAATGAAGCAGAGATGTCTCATCAGGTATTAAACCTAACATTATGGTACAAATAACTAATGACAGAATAGAAATCCCGAAGATTTTGCTACAAATAGCTAATGACAGTATAGAAACCCCACCAACATTATTTTACAAATATCTAATGTGCAGACTAGAAGTGAACCCCTTCATGATATCTCGTAGAATTTTTAGAATTATTAATCATTTGTATTTGTGAAACAAACAACTGTTGTTATTTATAAACTACTCCTACATATAAATACAAAATAAAATGTAAAATAATTTCATGTATTTATGTTTTCAAGAAAGCAAATGGACCAAAATATACATTTTGTATTATCCGCAAGCTTTAACCCCCAAAATTGGCACAAAAAACAACCCAGGTGTACTTTTTGCAATCCAAATTTAGAGGTTTGCGATGCTCTCTTTGTTGAATAATGTGGAAACTAATGTAATTTTTCTAGATTTAAAGTGTTTAATTCTGATAATTCTTATGTTTTTCTGCAATAGAAATGCGCAAGTCATTTTTGTGACGAAAACACAATTAGAAATTATCAGTTTATTTTATTATAAACATGGATATTAAATTCATAAATTCATCATAAATTATTAACATTATTAAAACATTATTTAATTGTTAGAACCTGCTGCAGAACAAGGCTAGACTCGAGCATGATTTAAAGATAAAATCAAATTCACTTTTCATCGATCGGGAGAAGTGTCTTTCCATCAGAAAGTCTTTCCCTGTCGTATCCCTCGCTACAAAGCTTTAGGTATATTTTCGAATTTGTTTTAAAGATTTTTAATGTGATACTTAATTATCTCTTACTTACATATTTTGTACATATATTACATATACATATATAATAACAGTTTTAGATGACTTAGGACAACTCAGGAACTAGTTTTAATGTAAACAGACAGCTGTTAGCAAACCTTGGTTGCCCAGACCCGGCCTTTCTACCTGGAATTTTGGATCGTGTATCTTTGTTATTGTTTTTACACAATAAAAGGAACAGAGTCTTTGTCACAAACTCAAATTTCCTAATCCTGATTGCAACCTGATGGAGTAAACCTTTGATATTTTAAACTTAGATTATTTGATCTAACAGACGGCTTAGTTTAAAATATCTAAGGTCTACGACAAATTGTGTTGCAAAGATATAGGGATTAGAAAATCAGAGTTTGTTGCAAAGAACTCAATTCCTTTGTTTAAGAACTGTCCTGATACAACACATTTAAACATAAACAAAACTCATGAATCCTTCCTAGTTCTCATTTTAATGTATTTTTTAATGGTATTTATGATTTTTATCATGTTTTCTCTGATTAAAGTTCTAATTTTAATTATCTATTAATCTTATTATTTTCTAATAATATATACTTTTTTATTATAATTCGCATTTTTGTTTTTATGTTTAGAAAATAACAATCAAACTTTGAGTTAACCTTTTTTACACTTTAGTTTTGTTACTTTGAAGTTTCAAGGCCAAAGCCAAACAATTAAATTATCGAAAATAATGAAATGAAAATAAATTTCAACATTATTAAAAATATGTGAAGTATTAAATATAAAAAGTCATCCAAATTATGAATCTTTTTAAAACACAGTTTTAAGCAAAATGTAGTATGCTGATTTTACAATATTCTTACGTTTTTCATTTCGTATAGATAGACTAAATTATTAAAACTAGATTTTAAAGATCTGGAATTTGATTTTTTTTAAAGTTTCAATTTTTTTTAAATATTGCTGAATATGTATTATCTAAAATATTTAATTGAAGATTTGATTTTTTTATTTTAATTTTTTGATTAAAGATTCTATTTTATTATTTGAATTATTTGATTGTAGATTCTATTTTATTATTTGAATTATTTAATCGAAGATTCTATTTCATTATTTGAATTATTTGATTGAAATTTCTTTTTTATTATTTGAATTATTTGATTAAAGATTCTATTTTATTATTTGAATTATTTGATTGAAGATTCTATTTTATTATTTGAATTATTTGATTGAAGATTCTATTTTATATTTGAATTATTTGATTGAAGATTCTATTTTATTATTTGAATTATTTGATTGAAGATTCTATTTTATTATTTGAATTATTTGATTGAAGATTCTATTTTATTATTTGAATTATTTGATTGAGGATTCTATTATTTAGATTGAGTAATGGTGGCAGAAGAGAAGAGAAGTAAAAAGAAGAAAAATATAAGACCATGGATATAATTTGATAGTTGTTCGTGCAGCGTTCGAATTTAAAAAGAAAAAATCTAAAAATTATTCTCTCACAAGGGATTTTCTCGAAGCTGTCACGCTAGTTAAATATTAGGTGTTTGTTTAGTTATTAAGGGAAATGTTTCATCACAAAGTTGTAATTATACATTGGAATTAGTAAAAATTTATTATATGTATATGTTAAAGTTATGTTTGAATTGTATAGTGTTTAAGGGCCGCTTAGGAATAAAGTATTGTATTGTATTTTTTTTTTCTCATTAACCTTTAATAAAAAGAAAAAGGTATACATACATGTTCAATGGCATGCAAGAGAAAAATTTCGTACTTTAAATAATAAAAAATATTATTTATAAACAAATTTATAAACGATCATCCCAAAAAACTTACATGCATGTCGATCTAACTCATGGCGGTACATTGAAAAGTAGAAGTGAAAAAACTTCCGCAAAAATTCTGTAAAAATTTAGCTTTTTCTGAATGCTGGAAGATAGTAGCAGCATATTTTTTTGCTCCGGCCCACCGGAGCCGGAGCTAGATGAAACGGAGTAAGAATTATTCACGCAACCTCCCACCGGAGAATATTTTAAAACATGCTATTTAACATTCACGCAACCTCCCATCAGAGGATTTCTTTTAAACAACTTATCAATAGGAAAGATGGTGACTGATTTACTCTCATACCATGAACTAACCAATT